TGTTGCTCGGATTGGATTTTAACATTCCTCTTGGTAAGCTAAACCGTTTGTTGATAGAGGTCCAGTTTGAGAACTTCTTTGGACAGTTAACAGACCTCCAGCCGGATAGTGCAGGTAAACAGGTGGTTTAAAAACAAATTAGCTGATATTGCGCATGAGTTCATATTGACCCCAGTGAAGGAAGGATATTCACTTACAAAACGCCATCTTCGTGCACTTGGAGAGCTGAAGACCAAAAATGTAATGATGCTTAGACCGGACCAAGGATCCGGAACCGTTGTTATGAACATAGCAGATTACGTGCAAAAGATGCAGGTTATACTTAACAAGAACAGCAAATTTAGACGTCTCAAAAAAGTGGAGAATATTTGTCGCATCAGAAATTACCTAAAAATACTTATTGCACATCGAACGATCGATGAGGGGACATATAATAGCCTAAAACCGGTTGGCTCCACCACGCCGCAAATGTATGGCTTACCGAACACATAAGAGTGGTACACCTTTCAGACCAATTCTATCCATAGTAAATTCCCCGCAATACAAAGTTGTTCGCTAGCTTGTGGACATTCTTACACCGTTAAAGAAGCATGATATTCCACACAGTATCAAGGACTCCTTTGAACTCATCGAAACTTGGCAACATAGATATGTCAGATATTGTCATGTGTTCATTAGATGTACAATCGTTGTTTACAAATGTTCCACTACGTGAGACCACTGATTATGTGTGTGTGAGTTGGTGGAACATTCCAGCTTATCTCTTCCAATACCCGCTGAGCTGCTGAAAGAGACCGTTACTTTGCACTGAAAATATCAGTTTCCACTTTCGAAACACCCATACCGCCAGGTTGATGGGGTAGCAATGGGGAGTCTATTGGGTCCAACATTAGCGGATTTCTTCACGTCCATGGTGGAGACAAAGATGAGTCAGAAATTTCCCTCCTTTCTTACTACAAACGCTACGTGGACGATATTTCAGTGTTCTGTTCATCAACAACAGAGATTACAGGTCTTGTCGAACTTTTTATTAGTGTAGATACACATTTGAGAGTAACAAGCGAAGTAGAATGTAACCACTGTCTCCCATTTTTGAACGTACTGATTAGTCGTAGAGAAAACGGTCTCATCAAACGATGTGTTTACCGAAAACCGACATGGTCCGGGCATTACCTGCACTTTGCCAGGTTCACTCCAATGCGGTACAAGCGGACGTTAGTCAAGACCTTGTTCAATCGTGCAAGAAGAATATGTAGCCTCGATTGTCTGAAAGAGGAACAGGAGCTGTTGACTAATGCGCTCTTGAAAAACGTTTATCCTCGCCGGTATATCGCAAAACGTAGTCAGACGAGAGTGGCAAGGGAGAAGGTTCCCACTGTGGCCAAAAAGATCCTTGTAAAACTACCGTTTAAATGTGATCTCATTACCATGAGGACAAGCAAGCAATGAATTTCCGCTGTTCATAGGACTTATTACGCTGCCGGAGCTGTCCTTATTCACCGAACCAATAAAGTGTTGTTCCCCCACAGAAGGAAAGGCAACCTTTTTACGTCATTTCACACTGCATTTACCAATTCACTTGTAGCTGCGAGTCAGGCTACATAGGCCTTATCGAGAGAATGTGAAATTCCAAAGTAAGGGAACATGTGCCTAAGTGCGTGCAGCTTGAAATTATCCAGTCTTCCGCTTCGTATATCATCTGTTCACGAAAGCCACCTGCCTCATCCATAGGTAGACACTTATTGTCTACTTGTCATCCATTCGACCCTGCCACACAGTTCACAATCTTGTTGAGACATGCTAACACCCGCATCCTACATTTCGCCGAGGCTGTCGCGATCAGCAGGATCAAACCGGCAATATGTGTGCAAAAACAGTTGTTTGTAAGCTTAAGGCTCCCATGGACTTAGGGGTGGCATATTTGTACCCCACCCTGTCTCTATTTTATCCGGTCACACCCTAGCTGTAGATGTATATATTTTCCTGTTATGGTATTGGCACTGACGAGACAATACGGAACGTTAACGTCTGCCAGTTTTCGTCCTCTCACAGCGTTGTTTAAAATGCTCAAGGGCACTACTTGTTTCATACTTCATAACTGTCGAGATTTGGTTTCTCCTTTGGCGGTTGCTTCCACTATCTCGTGATCTGCTGTTGGATGTTCCGAGTCACGATCATTCGTTATATAGATGTCGATAGTAATTCTTGGTTCTCTACTGAACTGTAATTCGAATGGAAAAATCTTGGTGGTCGAATGCACGCTGGGTTGGTACCCGAGTAGAACTTCAGGCAATGCTTCCTCCCACGTGCCCTCATGGTTCGATTAAACCGCTGTCATTTCGTTGGCGACTTACATCGTCTCTGTATCTCCCACTTGTTCAACACCGCCTGGAACGTCTTCGATTCAAAGCAAGGTCCTTGGTTCGCAACAACGTATTTTGGTATTCCATACCTTTCTGGCACGCTAAATTCGAATACTTGTGCCAGAGTGCAGTGCTCAATCATCGGTTCTTGAGTGACTCAACGGTAGAGGTTCAAAGAAGTCCAATCCCCAGCAGTGCAATGGTTCGTCGATCACGATGAACATCGAATGGTTGATAAGTGTTGCTCCTACACTAACTTTCAACCGCTGTGCCCCCGTCACTTTCAAGCGATGTTCTCCGGCCGTCTGCATTACGACTGATGACCGAGTTAACTGAACCCCGTCGAACATTCGCATAATGGAAACCTCCGCCCCACGTGACCACTCTGGCACGGTCTGACACCGCTACAATAGTTATCTCGAAGACCGGCACTTTGTAGCTACTCGGAATGGACAAAATGCGAAACACCGACTAACATTTCTGTTCGCACAAAATCGGGCAAAATGACCTACATGGTTGCAACGAAAACAGCGGCGATCATCCCCATTTTCATGCCCATTGCGTTGTGTAGTCTCCCTCACTGTATCCATAAAAGTCAGCTTTCCTACCATCTGTGTCAGTTTGTCTACGTTCCATTCCAACTCGAAAGGTTAGATCCTTCGTACTGTCACAGCCTCTGAGAAACTTTGGGCCATCGTTGCCAGCTCCCTCGCCCTCTTGATTCCAACCATCGATGCCAATTCACTCCACCCCGGAGTTCGCTGAGTAGACATCGGATGAACTGCTCTCTCAGTAACCGTACTCTTTCCGAGATATCTAACTCCGAAAGTCAAATCGCCAGGCGTCTGCACAGCTTCTGGAAGAACCCCCAGGTCTTCTCGCTCTTTCCATTTTGCAGAGTGAAACTACTCCAACGCCTGTTGCCGGTCGATTTCCCTTCCGGTTTCACACTACACTGCCTCCATTTCAGTGAACACGCAACTGACTTTGACCTTCCGAGTTGGCAGCTACACCGCCTTCGCTTTCCCGGTCAGAAGCGTGCTCATTGCCGTCAGTCAGTTTGCACCACTTTTGACTCCATTGCGTACTACAGTAGCCTCCAACTCCTCGAATCAAGTTTCTACATCTCCATCAGCAAACTGCGTTGGTCAGGTCAACTTCCTCCTGTATAGTCCCGGCAACAATATAGCAAGAACTAAGCGGCAAGTAAGCGACTACTGTTAACCAAACGTTTACGCACGCACGCATATATCGTTTATGTATCCATCCTGCAACGCAACATACATGAGGAACAATTACATGTCACATTTATGCGCCGTTTCTCCTCAACTTTGGGAGGTATGACTGCCTGTCTGACTCCCTATATTCGCTTCCGTAACTCGCATTCTAACCAAGCTGGAGTTATTCTAAGGCGCTTGATTTACTTGACCGCGATTGTGGTTATCGGCTTGGGGTGGCTCTTGGATGCACTGATAAAGGCGCTTTTGTCCGTTTTTGTCTGTTCTACTTGACTCAGACCCGTTACCGCTCGTCGCTCGCTATTCGCTCTCCGCTCGTTCAGGGGGGCTTACTTTGCGCCGTTCGATCTCGCCCATGATGCCTGTGCCTGTTTTTGTCCTCGCTTCTTTTTATGGTTTTGTCACAATAAATAACTGCTTGCACCTTGGGTTCTTACAATTGTAAGGTGCGAGTCATGGCCTCATTGCAACGATCAGTCCAGTCATATCGGACACACTGTAGGTTAAGTATGGAACTCTCTATTTGTGCGGAGCGGTGCCATCCACCCGTGTGCCCCCGAGTGATGTGCGTATGCAATTAGAATGAACACATGGATCAAAGGAACGAGCTAGACAGCCGATAGGAGGCATATTCGATCATTGGACGCTGATTGGCCCATGTCTGTTTGCGCTCCTGTGACTTTCTAATAGTTTGGCTGGGTCCAAGGAGGAATCCTATCGTCCAGTGAAGGTTTTTATTTATGAAAGTTCACGGATAATATATGTCGAACTACGTGTCAAACATGTAACTTTCTTCGGACCGTTTTTCATCGAACAAACACTTGGCATGGGCTACTGGCTTCTGCACACCCCATCCTGGCGTAGCCGTCCTATGTGTTCCCAACCATGTGTTGTTATGTCTGCATGCTCAATAAATTCTTGTAACTCCATGTGCACTATGCACCTGCTGACTGGTAATATTCCACTGAATATATTCTGCTTCCGAATCCGAAAAACACCAAGGACGCTATATTTTATTTTTAGTTTGGGCTGCTAGAGCTACATATCCTTTGTCGCATGTGTATTACAGCTTGAAAGTGATTGTGATATACCGGTGACTAAAATTCACCCTCACCGTCACTTCGCCATCGTCCAGTGGCATGTTGGCGTCTTGCTATGTTGACCTGTTTTCTCTTCGACCTCATCGTCTTTCAGAACAACGGCACCTCCTCAGGTTGTCGATACAACATATGGGAGGTATTTCTTTCAATCCAATGAATTCCCGAAACTTGCTACCGTGTACGAACCATGCTTTTTTCTTAGCCAACCTCTCTGCTTGACTCACAGTTTCCCTGTTAACCGAACAGTGATTGCCACTGCCGTTTACATTGTTCTTATTTTCGGCTCCTGTCTTCTCCAGATGCGCCTCGCCTTTTTGAGCTTCCGCAGACCCGGCAGGTGAAGTACACGCGCGATATGCTATCTTATAGCTGTGCTCTACAGAATCGAGCGGACAAACCGTGGTATGCATGGTGGGAGTTTCAACGTGAGGGCACCAACGCAATCGTCCCACTCCCACCGTTTAAAAAGAACACTTACAACGGATTCTCAGTCTCGGTGAGTTTCGTGTGCAGTTCACAGTCCGTCTGGGGCTTGACATTTGCATCTGTGTTGCTACGTTTGTTAACAGGAATACGTGTGTATAGGTTGGGTGGTTTTTATCGCACATTCGGTTCTTCGGGTTTACGTCGACTTTGTTCCAATAGCCTAAGGCTAGATTCCTTTGTTGTCCTAGTGCCTCATCCATCACCCTCCAACTTAGCGGCCTAAGTAGTTCGCTTTGTAATCAGTGGCAGATCAATCTATCTCGTTTCTGTTCACGTATCCGTCGGGGCTCGTACGCCAGCTCTTCCGTTTACCGAATGACGCAAGTCTGTCGACTCGTTGCCACCACTGAGATTGTCTGAGCTTGTGAGCGGCGAATGTTTTCCGAGATGCTGCATACAACTCCTTTCCCTCATTTAGCTAAATTCGATCGCATTATGTGCGCTTTCAAGTACCCTGGCATCTACAATGTTGGATTTCGGCACTCAATCTCTGTTTCGATCTTGGTACACTTTGTAACTTATCCGGGCTACTCCGATCACTGAGACGGTGCTCGAGGTGTTGAGGCTCCTCAATGTTCCTCGCTTCCAACTCTGAACTCCGTAATCCGTTTCCTTCTCCATCTGACTAATCAAGTACAGATGACCGGAAGGGGGAGCGTCATCGCGCGCCTTAATGTTCTAGTGATCACGAGTTCCACTTCCATCTATCTCTGCTTCAGTTGGTAGCGGGCAACACCGATGAGTCTATATCCTGGGATTTTGAATGTTCTCGGGCTCTGGCATCCATACCCCGGTTGAACCGGCCCTTCGTACATTGTCTCATCAGTACACCAACACTGTGTGCTGATGCTTCGCCGCCATGTGAAGTATCGAGCAGTAGCACGCGGTAGCGCGTGGCCTGGGACACTAGCGGAACACGCAAGTGCACGCATCTGCGAGGACTGGAACTCCAGACGTTTGAACCATGGCATCATGGATGTGACAGACAGAGTGGCGTGTTGGCTTCATTGGGTTCTGACGGAATGAAGCACAACTTCATTTAGCCGCACATCCACTTAACTTTCCTGAGCTATATGCATTGCGTAGGAGGTATTCGGCTTGAGTCTCAGAGATCTGCATCTGTCAACTCTTGGCAAATGTGACAATTACCTTGCTGCGTACAAAACGGCAGTTCGAAGCTGTGTTTTGATAATCCCCGATTGGCATAGGAAACTGATTTAAGCTTCTGTCTTTCTCGATGCTTTTTAATCACGGCTATCGTCTCATGCATTCTTACGCTAGTTAATCTCCCTTGATTTTAGTATGTGGACGATATGACATCGCGGACGGAAGATTCTCCTTGGCGCCTTCCGGATAGTTTACGGGACAAAGTCCCCTCGTTTGTGCATGCTGAACCGAACGCCGCAGTCCACGTGACAGTGAATAAACTTAGTAAGGAGCTGCACCATGGCAACCTCACGTGCGTTGTACTGAACGAGGTCGGGGAGGATCGGCAGTCAATTCGGGTCACATTCATTCGTAAGTCCTGCTTCCTTTTCTTCGGTGTACACCGCTTTTCCTCCACATTAATCTTAGATTTGTATGACAAATGTAATAAAGTATCGTGATCCCTATACAGCACATTAGCTGATCATTAAGGCATTAACTGTTGTATGGAGAACCATTATATCCACATCCAACTTTCCACATTCTCAACGGGTTAGCTGACTCTACCGTATACCAGTTGTAGACAACAAGTGGTGATGTATTGTGGCCCACTTTGGAACAATGACATATTACGGGCAAAAAAAGCGGATGCTTAGCAAGTCCCGTAGGATGGCCAGAATGGGAACCACAATATGGCGAATAGAAAAGAGTGATAACATGAAAATCGTTTTCGTGGACTCACCACAGTGTTAACACAGCGGCATGCAGAAAGGGCCAACCTCAGTTGTATAGATTACTTCTGGTTGTGCAACCTTCGTCACATTATATCATCTGTCGAGACATACAGGCTATATTTCGTAATGTAGGTGGGTTAAAGCGCGGGTTCGAATCTGCCTAAGGGTGGGTGTCCTCGCCGTATACTCAGTCCGCGTGCGACTAGTGGTGGTCGCACGGCAGCGAAGCGTCTTTACAGCATACAGCTGGCACATTATGATTAGGGTAACGTCAAGGTGTAATTTAAATACAGGTAAATTGGGGGCGGAAACAAGCTATTTTGGGAGGGCGTTCCATGGCTGGCGCATACGAAGAGAGTAAAAGTTCCATCTACATTCTAGCCGACTATTGCGTAGCCAACGAACTTGTCTCCCCTCAAATTCGTGTTGTGGCTCAGTTGTATTAGGTGGTGGCAGACGTGGTTGGGGTTCCTAAAATCTGGTAGGTCATGATAAGATGGCCACGTAGACACCGATACCGGCCGCTGTAGAATTTTAAGGTCCTCAGCCTTATTTGATAAGGAATATTGAACAATCCTTTGATGTGCTTCATGGCTTTTTGCTGTGGTGTCTCGAGCGCTGCAAGGTCTTGCTTGTGTCAGCGCTGCCAGGCCTGGATCGCGTATTCCACATGAGGCCGCATGTAGGTGTTAAGCAACTGCAAACAGACGGGATCAAACTGTCCGAATGCCCTCCACAGCATTCCAATGTGTTGCTTCCCACTCGTTGGCGCTTTTTCAGACTGTTTTGAGGAGCCCAGATCAGCTTGGACTAGTACCCAAGGTCGCGCTCCTGGGTGACTGCTTACAGGATATGGTCTGTAAGCTTGTGCCTGATGTTCTGCTGGTGCAGAATGTGAACCGCCTTATACTTCCCCGAATTGAACTGGAGCAGATTGTGGCTTGATCACTCATACGTTTTGTCTAGGCCTCGTTGTAGTACCTCGTGATCTGGGTCGATGATCGTCCGCCACATCTTAACATCATCAACGAACGGCACGGAATCTGAGGCGATCGAACGCGTAAGCTCCTTAATAAACACGAGAGACAGACGTGGCGCCCGAACTGATCCTTGTGGAACTTCACATTCGACATGAATCAGATCGGACAGCGCACTTCGAACTCTGACCTGCAGTTGCCGATCATGCAGGAAATTCCTGATCCACCCAAGGACAGGATCTCCAACTCCATAGCTTTCGAGCCTGTGAAGCAGAATGCGGTGGTCCAGTCGGTCGAAGGTTTTGGAGAAGTCGAGGTAAATGACGTCTGCCCTTTATTTTTATGGGCCACTTCCGTCCAACTACTGCATGCAATCAGTAGGTTGGTAGGGCATGAACGGTGTTGGCGGAAACAGTGTTGCTCAGGTGCTATAATGTGACGTTCTAGATGGTCTACCATAGTATCAACGATGATTGCCCTCATCACCTTTGATAGCACAGGGAGGAAGACCACTGGAGCGATAGTTTGCGGGTTCCGAGCGATTGCTGTTTTTGAAAATTGGAGTGCTTAAACCATGTTTCCACATGGTACGCACAATTTGCTTTTCCAAACGCGTTTGGGAGAAATGCGATAATGGCCCGGTCAGCGTTGTTACTGCTACGTTTAGCGCCCTCGGATGAATATAATCGATTCCGGGAGAGCTGTAAGTGTGTAGTGAGAGCAGTTTCCCCAACACAGCTGTGGCAGTAAAATCGATGTTAGTGAGTGTTGCAGTTGGGGATAGGGATGTGATTATGTAACACTGACGGACGTCTCTTTGAAAGGTTGGGGTATACTGCATTCGTAAGACGTTGGCTGCCTCTTTGGCACTCTGTGTCACTCCGACTGGCGTGTTAAGTGGGGGGATACTGCGCTTCACTTTTCGGATGGTATTAACATGCTTGTATAGGGACTTTTTGTTGGTGGCAAATTTGTAGGCCAAGTCTTATTGGTGAGTCAATTTGTCCTCACGAACAGGTATGTTACAGTGGTTGCGCTGGGTCACATAATCGCTCCAGGTTTCGGGACAAGGGCGAGCTCTGTAAGTGTGCCAAGTTGCATTCTTTAGTGACATGCGTTTGCGAGTTCTAAAGAACGAGAGATTGGTGAAGCAAACCCTCTTCGTTTCTGAAGCAGTTGCGATTAGATTGCTGAAGCGTCCAACAAACTGAATCCAGGCACCATCGGGGCAGCCACCTTCCAAGAGTTCCCAATCGGTTGTCTCAACCAGGTCCTTCAGGATGTTGCAATGCGTGATAGAACGTGTGAGTTCTGTGTGTTCGTCCGGATACTCAGCGTGACACACATGGGAATAAAGTATGGTGACATTATCGCTTGACCCTAGTGGGGTGTCTATAAATCGCCTATTGATCACGAGTTCCTCACTTGTAAGTATGAGGTCAAATACCGATGGTTTGTTATCAGCTCTGTAGCTGGTAGGTGAGCTGGTGTGATTGTAGGGCGGGATACTTGGGATCAGGTTTTGCAGTTCGGCCCTGTATGTTTCGCTGGCGACATCACATACCGACTGGAAACTTGCCACCTAACTTCTTGAGGAACTTGAGAAATCACAGTTGCCTTCAACTGACAACAACCTACTAACCACGACAATAAGTGATTCACGTTGAGTGGACATGGTGCATATCTTTTGGCCTTTTCCTTGTTTCGGCAGAGCGAAAACTTTTGTCGTTCGTCGATCTGTCCGGCTGTCATCTGGCCGGTCGTCAACAAACCGCTTAGAGCATTGATTCTTGACTCAAAGTGGCATTTTCGAATACAGAGATTAACCAGTTCGTGGTTTGTGACTGCCGCGCAATTTTAGTTGTGTAACTGGCCTGTTATCATGTGAAGCAGTGTTCAGTTGTTTCCCAACTGACAATGAGAAGGGAAAGAAAGCGAAACCTCTATCTGTCCACTATCTGTCGTCAGTGCACCCCTAGTACTTCACGCCCTCTCGGCTGCTCACTGCTCGTTAGTTTTCCGCTTAAGCAAATATCTTGTCGGGTGACATCTCGATGGTGCAAGTACTAACTGAGGTGCAGCGCCTTTCGGTTGCTCGTCTATCTGTGTATTTAACGCCGTTGGTCGTTCCTTCCAAATTGCACAGTCTTGTTCTGTTGTTGTGGACTCTTTGAATACGCTTCAGTTGTCTATGTCCATCCTCGTTCGTCTGGTTGACTAGCGATTCATTTGCTCAATTGAATCGATCCACCGTCATTCCTTTCATCCTGCTACGCCAAGACAAAGTCAAGCGGTAATAGACGTCAGTACACACACGCACTCGAGCTCGCAACAATCGCTTTGCATAGTGTATCATTTACCTAGCCGTTACACCGCATGCAAGAGATCGAGTCGCTGTTCGCAGCTCTTGGGTTGTGCGACGTGGATACTGCAAAAGGGAATCTATACGGGGGTGTTGGTGAACTTCACTTAGCCCCCAATAATGAGAGTGGGGTGCCTATACAATCCCATTCCGTCGTTGCTGAAAAACGGTGGTGAGTCATATGTAGCGGACTCTGCTTCTCTGTACAACAACGCATGTGCGCAGAGGAACTCCTTTCAAGCTGACTTTTATCACCCATCGTTGAGAAAGTTCAGTGGGCATTGTATGGAAACGATCTCATCATCTCATCTTCCTACAGCAGCTCACTGGTCCGTAACAAAGGTACTAAGTGTGCCTCATGCTGAGGTTGATGTCGCATTCATGATGCTTCTTCACCGAAGTTGGTGTAAAACAACACATTTAGTCCAAATCATTTTAATTTGGATAAAAGTCATTTCTCTTTAGTTGGTTTAATGGCAAAGCATTTAAATCAGCCGTTTCCTTTTCATTGAACATCCTTTTTACTTTATCTACCGCGGACATACTAAGTTTTATGGAAATGATTTGACAGCTTTTTTTGTCCAAAGTACTTCCAAGTTCAACAATACCGGTATTTTGAGTTCAAAGCCCAGATACCTCGCACTGTTCGCGTTCTGTTGGTTTTGGCCTGGCTAACTTTTGGCGATTTGAAAACAATTAGGAAGAAATGACCTCACAAAATTATGCTCTGTCGGCTGGAAAAACATAAGGATTCTGGAGCTTGGGTGTTGCCCGCCCGAAAACACTACACAACCAAGACGCGTTTCGATGTCATTTCATCTCATCAGGTGGAGATAGCAGGCCTCGAACCCGCGACCATTAGAATAGTAGCCGAAATCTCTATCCCTTTGGCTACCGGGCCACGGCAGGCAACGCTTGTCATAACGGGTAATGACTAGTTGGAGGGTCAGTTTTGGATTACATATTGTTTGATTGGATTGTGACGCGCAACCTCAAGATCGACCGCGATGCACATTGAAGTGTACCTTGGTCACTGCGATCACTAGGACCGTAGCCGAAGCAGATGGAAATTGGGTGTTGCCCACCCGAAAACACTGCACAACCACGACGCGTTTCTATATCATTTCATCTCATCAGGTGGAGACAACAAGCCTCGATCCCGCGACCATTGGAATAGTAGCCGTCCTTTGCCTGTTCTATGGAGGCCACAGTGGCAAGCAAATCCGGAGCCGGATGCTGTCAACCAAGTGGAAACCACATCGAAAAGGTTTCAGTATTTCTCACCCCAACACCCAAACCCATTCACTTCAGATACGATCTTAATGATCGGAGGGACCAGGGTCTACTTTGAAGTAAACCGAGGTTTCAGTAGAGATTGAGTGTCACAATGCAATTACATGCCCAAACATTACATGCCGAACTTTGAAATCCAGACTAGTTTTTACCATTGTAGGTGACAGATTATCAATGTTCACTCTTCAACTGGTACCGGTGCAGTGCCATACATGCGGACGATCGTCCTACTTGATTAAAAGTCTCCCTCGCCTCGGTTGTTCGCGCTAGGTTGTAGCATTTTCTAACGCTGAAGGAGCTACTGGTGAGATCGTTTGCCATACCAAACTCTTCATACCGTGACTCCTCGGACCATGTGCATGGAGCTTGGGCTTCTTCACGTCAATAAATTTTCTTGAAGTCACACCGAGCCATGATTTGTCTCGGTCACTGCATATGAATGAAGCATTCACTTTCGTTTACCATCTCTTGATTGCGACCATTCTCCGCATCACACACTGATTCTGAAGTTCATCACTGCGTATATTTGGCTACACTGGGCTTACCGCTCACTCATGATTTTTAAGGTCTATTGTGTAAGCATTTAGGCTGCTTTACAGGTCACTGAAGTACTACAACAAATGAGTAAATTATTTCTTCTCGATGACGCGAAGCCTGATCGTGGTGAATGTACAAAAATATTACAAGTTTGCCACAACAGTGGATTTATGTATATAGGTGTGCATGTGTTGCTATGTTGCTTGGGTTTTTACATGTACCGCTGCGCTTTTTACTACATTTGATCGCGTCGCCAATGTGACGTCTGTGAATTGTCCGGATAAGCAAGGGGCAGACTTTAGTTGGTGCCGAGTCACAATAGCCACGTCATAGTGCTGTTAAACAGACATTTGTGACGTTTGATAGTGAGAACTCTTGCCAGGTGGCAAACCACCACGTCTTGGAACACTGCCGCCGCACTTGTTTTCTGAAACGAAGTAAAGCTGAACCACGCAGCTGGCACCACAGGGGGATTGTTCGGCTAGCCAGCAATGGTATTCCAAAGCCCCAAACTATTGTGTGTATTCGTGTCAGCTGCTGCACAGAGGCTGCTTCTGAGGCACTCACCAATATCAGCCACAATCTGCACATCGCACTAACTGGACATCTACTTCATCTACCAGATGAAGTACAGAGCAGTTTGTGCGCTCATGTGCCCCCATCGTTCGTCAACGTTATATATCTGGCAACATCTACGCTTGACCCGGACACTATTACCCAAGAACTAACTGATAAATTTTTTCGATGAGGTTGTGCTGCACAGTGAACTTTTTAATTATGTTTTACCGCTATTATAACCACTGTTCCATTTTTGTCATTTAATTTGTTTTGGCTGAAAATTCCCCAGTTCTGGCTGCATAAAAGCACACACTTGATTTGAGAGAAGCTCTCTCAGAAGTTCTCCCCGAAACTGGGCGATACAAGGCTATCTTCCTCTTCTCCTTACCTTTGTGATTACATGTCTGTGGGACTTTACTGTGTCTTCTTCCTCTCTCGGATTATAAGCGAGGTGAAAAGGTAGATTGGGTACTAAATTACTTGCTGCACTTCGGGTTAACGTAAACACGAGCCACCTTTTTTCATTGTCATTCAGACCGTGCTGGAGCGATAGCACAGCCGTTGCTGAAGTCGACTCCCTCATGTGCAAGACGTGGGTGCGCCCCTTGGAATGAAGTAACAGCGCCCAAACCGTCAGTGACATCTGTTTTGGAACGTGTTAATACGCAGTGAAACAACCCCATGCATACCATTCATTCGCCTCGCACATTATACACAGCCATTCGAAGCATTTGGATTCCGGCTTCAACTTTGAGTTTCATCCTTCTTCTTCCCTCCGAAGCTTTTAGTCTACACTTCGGAGGTACTTAAGGAATCGATAGGTCTGTACACGGTTTGACGAGTTACTACTACTTAGAGATTGTCAGTGATTGTCGAACAACACGCATCTTCAGTTGTGACAAGCACCAACGCAATGGCTTAGGGTGCTCTGCTTCATTCCGAATTTTGGATTATTTATGATACAGACAACCGGGACACTCTCATCATTGTTAGAGTTGGTTGGGCCGATTATTTTTCCAAGCAACGGCCTAGTAGTTTCACTTATACTTTCCTCTGCGAATGTCCCTCACTATATTGATGGTCACACTCTGATATCTCATTAAAAAAAACTTCATAGATGCGCTTGTCTCCGCATTTCACTGTTTCCGGATGCATCTGCCTGATGGCAGTTATCACACTATTGGCCTATGGACGTCGCTTTATGATGATTCCTTGTCTAAAGCGTCGTATCTACAAGATGGATCCTTGCTTGTGTACTTACTAGGCATGTACTTTCTGATGCATGCATCTTTCACACTGTGAGTTTTCCGCCGCCACCGGCCATCATGCCACGTATCCTTTGCTACCACCATGCCGGGGTTACAACCGCCCTCATAGCTCTTGTTTCATTACGTATCCTCTTAACGGATCCTTTGGCTCAGAACTTTCAGTTCCCCTATGTGCATTTCCGATGATTCGATGCAAAGCATACGCGAAAGTTTACTATAAATTCAATGATGATCTGCGGACAACAGTATTAGCTCGAAATTCCCCGCTTTCTTCTCCAAAGTCCGTCTGATTCTACCTTACGTCAAGGCATGTGGTCACAAAATGATCTTTTCTCAGTTGCGGACCGAGGGATACGGCATCGCGCTGTCTTCTGAGGCGCGTGTCCCCCGTAACTCCGTGATTGTCTTTTGCGCACTTCCGCTGCTGTCACCTCGCAATTTTCACCGGCTTTATTACTCGTCTTGGGTGGGAAATAAACCAGTTGTTTTTGAACACACCGAAGCGTAGCAGAGGAATTTAGTCCATCATAAACCTATGTCGTCACATTTACATAGCCCACTGAATGAATCGTAGTCGTCCGGATTTTGTCCTCTAAACTACGATAGGAGCTTTGGAGAGAGATTTAAAGGTAAGTGTAGACCAACCGCTCACTTCGCATTGACTATGTGTACTGATCCCTGAGTGACCAATCCTTTGGCCATTAATAGCTATCTTTTCCAGCGCATCCAGTGAGGAAAACATTTGCACGACCAAACGTGGAAGTTATTACGAGCCGCTTCTTCGCGGTGCATTCTGTTGTTTGGGTGCGTCCCTTGCGAACCAAACTCTCGATAAGTAGACCCGTGTTTATTTGCACACGAAATCATCTCACCCAGGCCACATGAAATTGATCATCATAACATTTCGGCACGCGCGTTTAACGATTGTCCGTACTCTGGTGACTTAGTATTAGTATAGATAGAAATTGATCACATTTAGACTCAACCAGACAGCCAACATCCACCCGGAAAGCACTTGGTTTTAGCTCGGAATAACTTGTCCTCTGTCAATCCCAAGTTGGGAAGTAAGACTTTGTAGTGCAAGCTTTTCACCACTGTTTTCTTCTCGCGGACTTCAGCCGAACTCGAATTCGCCATACGGCCACCGAACAACCAAGATGTGACTCTGGGGCAGACAATCGCGATAGATTGTGCCGCGAAACCATCGGATCTGGACCCCGTCGTGGATTGGAAGTACTTGCAAAAGAGTGAGTTACGCGGCTGGGGCACTTTGCAATTCGATTTTCCTTGCTATCTGGTATTCGCTGGTGTTGTGTTTTCCGCTGATTGTACGGATACCCTGCTGATAGTGCGCAAGCTGATCGGCCGACTTTACAGGTTAGAAAACAAAGGCCTCCGACGAAAACTGTATTGAGCACTCGGAAAACAGTGTCAGCAAATCAAATAAGGGGATCGAATCAACAGTTAATAAGGAAATGTCGTAGCCTTCACTGGCAAGCTTCAAGGTAGACCATCCTCATTGGCAGCGTTCAAGGTGAAGCGTGTCATCATTAGCCCGCTCTCATTGGTTGGTCAATAAGCTTCGGCCTGTGTCATAGTCAACTGTTCTGGGCTGCTTAGAAAGGGGTGCCTGCTCCCTTAACAGTTGGGGAAGGAGTGTTTTGAACTGCACTGAGTTTACTAAGTTTGGGTAAGACATTCGCATGCTGAAGTAGTCTTTTGCTAAATGATTTTCCAGAACAAAGTAGGCTCCGTCACACATGATCTAGGTAGGCTCCGTAACGGCCCACCCGCCCAGGGGACAAGGACGTTTATCCTAATAAATATTTTATGTAGGTTTTTCGTCTCTGCTGCACACCACATTATAGCTAACCGGCAAGTTGTTCCTACGGGTTATGTAGCCTCTTGGAACTCGGGATGAACTCAGCTTGATCAATAACAAAGAGATTGAATTAGTGTACCCGCAGCTAAGAATGTGAACCTAACATGCAAGTAATGGAATGCATCACCTATTCGACGAGGGGAGCATGTTCCAGGTTGGTATGAGGTTCACTTACGTAGATTCAAACTACCTCATGGGAATATACCACAGGCTATCATTTTTAGGTAAATATTTTGGCAATACCGAATTCTTTCCCTCTTCGAAACGAAGAGTAAACACATATTTTGTTCGCACGACATAATTGACCCACGCGCCCCAGCCACGGATGCCTTAGGACTCAAACCCATAGAAGTACCTTATAATTCGGTTTTCGCCGTGACGTCACACTCTTAGATGCTCATCTCTTTTACCCTATCCTGTGAACCTTTCTCAGTCAGTTGGTTTTTGAGCCCGACTCATCGCATCCTCTCTTTCCCCACGATTCTCTGGTTGCTCCTGTCAGCTGGTATCCTTAACCGGCAGCACCCGTCTGCCGTTCTCATGTTTCTCCTTTTCCGATTGCCCCCTAGCCACGAACAAACATGTCAGTGTTTCGGAGTTGTCCGAGGCCACGAATGGACGCATCAAGCAACTGGCCAACGGCACACTGCTCTTGTCCAGCGTAGATGAGTCGGATCCACGAGAATTCTTGTGTTTTCTCAAACCTGGCCGGCTATCCACCGCAGCGCAACGAAGTTCTGCTGTCAACTTGGAAGTTCATGGTGAGTAGCCAGGTCACCCGGATAGTTGTTAATTTCTGCTATTCCTAGTTGCTGGGTACCATTTCTTAACGTATGCGTCTCAGGTACGGTCCCGGTAGTCGAAATGACCGAGATTAACTTCAACCTGAATCGCGGTCCCGTCTGAGATTTCATATTGTATTCACGCAACTTATATTTTCAAAAGATCCGCGACATTTGTGACTCGAGATCTCTTTCGGCCTGCTAGCCCCCCTCCTGACACAATCTCTATACCATTACTTAATTGCTTGTCTCTTTGACGCAATCGCTTCATCCCTAGTGCAGCAACTTGTATCCTTAGCGCAAAAACCATAATCTGATAGCCACCAAAACTGCATCTACGACGCCTTGAATAGTCAACCCCTATCAACCAATAGCATTCGGACAATATGTCCGCATGATTTTTTAACCTAGACGCAGCTGGGGCATAGAACCATCGGTTGAAGACTTGGGCAAGCAAACGAGATGTCCGTTTGAGGCGAGGAGACAGGTGAGGCACGGATGGTCAAATGGAACAATGTTGTCACATGTTGAATAACAAATCAACGTTATTCACTCTGACCATCCGTGCCCCACCTGTTCCCACGCCCTAAACAGACATCTCGTTTGCTCGTTTAAACCCTCTGTGAGAGCTTTTCGACTTTATGTACAAAGAGCTCGATCAAGCCAGGGTGCGTGACTCCGTGTTCCGGACATGTTCACCGCCACGCCTGTGTTCGGAACTTTGCTGACTTCCTCTAATCTTCACATCCCATGTTTTGGGGTTTGGATCCAGTTCGTTAGCAAGCCTGCGCGTCCACCCTCTTACTGTCCAATGTTGGTGCGCACCTAGACGTGTGGATGGCTGAGGTCCGTGTATCCAGACTTCAACCGACGGCTCTATACCCCAGCTGCGTCTAGCTTATACAGTCATGGCGGCATATTGTCCGAATTCTATTGGATACTAGTGGTTGACCACACATGGCGTCGTGGATGCAATTTTCGTGACTATCACGTTATAGTTTTGCGCTTAGGATGCAAGCTGCTGCACTACGGTTGAAAGCGATTGCGTTAAGAATGTATCAGTTGGGAAATAGTTTAGCCTAGCGCCCTCACATAGCAACTCGGATCAAATCACCAGGTAGTAAAACAGACAGGTCCTTACTAGCATGCGGTGGACGCTGGCCTCGATCCAACACATGGGATTTTCCCGTAGCCCTTTGAGATATCCGATTTCAGCTATTTTCCAATTCGTGGAGACCAGAAGAGATTAACTTCCTGCTCACCTTTACTTTTCTGTTTCGCGATTTGCAACGAATGTCTTACTGCAGTGTCCGATCTAATGATCACTCACGTTCTCCACGCGACATATCCTCGCGTGTCCTTAAGTGTCTATGTTTTATTCTATCGATTGCTTCTGTTCGTCGTTGTTCTACGTGCCTTCCAGCACTGTTTCGCTGCTCTACTGGTCTTTCTAACTGATTCAATTAGTCTGCTGCCTTTGCCCGCTGTCGGACTGAGAATGTCTATGTTTTGCACCGTATGTTTCGCTTTGTCACTTATCTGTTTCCCAGTACCCGCGCGTATCGATCCGTTGGATCACGTGGAGAAAGTTCGTGGCTCGCGGTTCAACCTCACATGCAGTGTGCACGGGGATCCGGATGATTTGCAAGCCGCTTGGTACTATCGTCCCACGTCACTGTGGAAATGGCAGCTCATCGATAAGCCGTGCGTCGTCCCCACTGTGTTTTTGAACGAAGCTGCACTACGCGTCGATGGCACCATGAACCCGGCCAAGTTTGATGCCTCGGCGACCTTGAGTTCTTCAGGGGATTCCAGCATCAATCCCTCCCATTCGACCGATCATGTGTCTAGCCTGGTGGATTGCCAGAGTTATGCAGTGGAGGGGTTGGAATCGGGAGTATTGTTTCGACAAGTGAGCTTCCCTCATCTCCGGCTGTACCCTAATACCCGTAACTCCATCGACGTCACGTGTGATGCTTTCCCACTTTCCTTCCTTTTAGGCTTCATTTTTTAAATCAAACAAGCGTGGTTTGGATAAACAGTTGCAATTTTTCAGTGTCAAGGAAGCGCACATGGGCGAATATTTGTGCCGTGCATCGAACAAGTACAATCGAGATGCATTTGGCACGCGAACAGAGGTTGAAGAGTTTGTTCGTCTAACGGTGATTTGTAAGTTCCTTTTCCTCGTCCGTTCTCCTAGTATTTGTGTGCGTATCGTGCCACGCAGCTGACTGATATGATTGTTTCGAACTGCCTTGATCCTCTGCTGGTGGATTACCTCATGAGGCGACCGCATTCCCAATCCATGTTTGAAATCGGATTGGATGCCACTGCAATCGCTTATCATTAGTCATCACCAGAGCGGATGGTTGCGCCATCTTGCACTATCCATTGGCCGGCTCATCTTGGGTCTGATGGGCGCCTGGGATGTCAACTCCGCATCCAACATGCAGACGAACCCACTGTTTGAGCTGCGTTTAGGAAGCATTGTCTGATTGATTGATGTTGATATGTCAGTTCATCAGTAGGCTAAAACAAACCCGTATCTGATTGAGACTTCTCTGTTAACAATTTTCATATCATTGTCCAAGATGTTCTACTCGATATCCGATTATTTTGAGGGCCAAATGTTTCCAGCAATCTTCCACGCGGCCACTGGCCTTTTTCGCAGCATGAAAACATCCAGTTGACATGCTTACTCGACGCCAAGTCTATCCACACAGTACCATATCACGTGCGACCGATACTTCAGTGTGTCTGCACTTACAACTAAACCTTCATTCTAATATATATTCTCAAACGCTGCTTCCGGTTGCTGTGTCCAACTCCGAAACTAGAGTACATCTGTTGACTGAAACGGTTGGTTTTTTCCACGGGCTTTCCATACAAAGTACCATGATTACATCGCAGAGCATGTTGACTGTCAGCAAAATCGGGCCGCGCGTGATACCATGTGACAGTTTTCGTTAAACATTGTTCCGCTGTCACGCCATCGTCAACCGTCTTAGTCATTCATCGGGGTGTGCTGGAAACTTATGTGAGTGCCTGGAACTGACGGGTGATATCTTTTAAAACTCACTTTTGCAAGTATCCCATAACCATGTGTGTTGTTTATCACGTAGTTGGTTTGACACTAGCGTAATATACACCCATCTTGAACTTGGCATATAACTGCTATGCGATACCAAGCTCTGGTTTCGCTTCGTACTTCAGTACAGATGGTTCCACACCAGGCTGATCAACGTCGCCGGTGCATCCTCGGATATAACAATCCACTTCAACCATCGAATTGTTCTAATGCGATCCCGTTTCCATTTGGAAGGAAGCGGTTGCCTGGTTTATCTATTTCCATACAAATTCACCGCATGAGTAAATGGGCACAACTCCACGGAGAACAGAATCAATAAAGGCTGCTCCCCGAAATCACACCCCTGAGTTCCAATGCCGTCAGGGGATCACTTTTGAAGTTCTCTTCTCTCAGGGACTCGTCAGTGACGAACAGTGAGGCTGATTTAGCTCGTCAACTTACAGTTACTGCGTGCAGTATAAGCGTTCTCCCGTTTTATCTCTTCAGGATTTTTGAGATAACAGTGATATTCTCATCCTCCTACACGAATCCTCAACTACTAACGAGCCAGTTCCTTCAAGGTTGAGGGCAGAATGAAGAATTGCCTGAAGTCTGATGGCGGAAGTACTGATAGCATCGAAGTGGAATAGAGTATACACCACTCCACGTGAGCAAAACGATACTAGCACACGAGCTGAATAGGCATCGATTCCGTCCATATAAATGGACGTTGGTAGCCCTAGACTAAAAATATCTAACACTTGTGATAAATTGACCAGATTAGGGAATCTAAAGTAGAACGCAATTGGTGCGTGCAGTTCTATGAATATTACAACCTGAGCTCGCTCCTGACCAAACGACCACCCAAGGAAAGTAATCTCTTGATCCAGCCACTTTCGTCTCCCTACCATTGGGCCAGCGTAGATCTTAGTGACTGAAGTGTGTCCTCCATTCAATACGGGAGTGGGTCACTTCAGCCCGACTCGTACAGATGGAGTCACCTATCCCAGTGAAAAAGAAGCTCCACGAAAAAAGACCAGACAACTGGAAATATCACCCGACATCCAGGTTCACCACTCCGGTAACGGACACTCTTGGTGATCATGTCTTCATGTTCTTCTAACTGAGTACAAATCATTTCCAATGTCGTCTGACTTGTTTCCGAGCGTTATGATTAATTTTCAACCTCAATCACATTTGGCTTATTTGGCTTCCACTTGTTGCATGTGCTCACAGACTTTTCGCTTTTCGCTACATTGCAAATAGTGACCATTTGAGTTGCCGATATTCGTGTTATGATTCCAGTTTTTAACCCTTCATAGATTTTGTTTTTGTTCCCTGGTCGCCACGGTAACGTGGAACAACCGTGACCTTGTAGGTGGGACTGCTAATTTGATAAATGATCACACTTTCTATCAAGCCTACTGCGTATGAAAAAAGTTATTTAATCAGTTGGAATATAGTTAACTCCGTTACCTACTTCCGGCCAAGGAACGTTAAGTTGTTGGAACACTAGTAGAAAAAATTCATTTGATAAATGGGTCTCAATCGTGTTCGTCCAGCCTCGCCTGGTTTTAATATTTTGCATCACGTCATGCGTGTGTACACTGTCTGGTCGCATTTATCACACTGCTAGCAAGCAGCGTATTCCCGAGGGTTTGTCGTAATCCTGGACTAGCTAATGATTAAAAGTGCACAGACGATAAAGAAAATGAGCATTTTAGGCGCAGAATGTTGATTTGTGCGTGGAAGCGTTCAGCCTCAGCACCGAATAGATCGATTGGCGAATGATGACCTCAAGGTTAGACGTTTGCGTGATCGGTAAGAACAATGATTTATGGTCCCGACCACTATGTGAGCTTATCTTCATGGGATTATGAAGCACCGTAGGCCAGGCATGTCAAACTGAGGGTCCTCCGAGGGCCACATGGACTACTTTTTTGCGGTCCGAGGTCCGTAAACAACAGCCAATTAAAGTCATGCGCATGCATACATATAATTATTTACTTATTGTACATCATTCTTATTGCCTCAGCTACCACCTGTATGCCATTGGTTTAACGGAAAACCAGCGCAGTATTCTATCGAAAGGGAAGAAAACGAAATCCTTATTAGCAGCACAAACACATATGTAATAGAAACCGATGCAATATCAACAATCACAACAACACCAACAACAGTCCAAATGGACATGGGATTTTGGTATTATTTCAGACCCGGAATGTCGAAACAGCTGTATGGCTCTTTTTCAGACTTGTCCAAGTCTGCTGACTAGGAGGAGACTGCGGTGAACTACCTCTGAAACTATGTAATCATTTGTGGTGTTTTGCCATGAAACTTAACAGATGTTTCTAGTGACATTTGTTGCTATTTCCGGCCGAAATTTTCATGTAACTTCAATTTTGAAAAGACATGACAAGTGTTGGTCAGTCGGCCTTATCTTCTGTGAAGTATCTGTTGGTTTCTTTAAGAGAAATAACCGATAAAACCATGTGATAAACTTTCCAGTTTTTAGTCGTTTCAGGAAGGTATGAAAAGAAACTAAGTACTACATGACACTCCACGTTCAGGTCGCGTTTGCCGCATCCATGTGTTTTCGTTAAAAAAGTTGACATCATTATATATTCTTTGAAGTCTTACCTCGCTTGTCTTGCAGCTTCAGTCGTATTTCTCTAGTGTTTGGAAATCGATTTAAAGGTGGTAAGATTTTTCAAACTTAAACAACCGTTTTAACCAAAGAAAAGCATGTGGCTTTATGGTGAATGGCGTACTTTTATCCAGTTTAAATTCTAGCAACAAGAACAAAAATAAGCATAACTACAACACCATCAACAACAACTGAACTTTCGGCCGCTTACTCGCCAAAGTACGATGTCCTCTGTGCTAACCCCTGATATGCTTACAAAGGTCCACTTGTGAGGATACCTGTAGAGGCCTAGCTATCATTGTCGAAACCGACAGTTTAAAATACCAATCGATCAGTGGGCTTTGTCCACACAAACTGATTTCACTACACACGTGCGCTCGCTCTTACTCACATGTGCACTCGTGGATTTAGCACACAACACCAGCAAGGCTTTCTGTGTGGGACAACCGTGCACCGAAACACAGGCTTTGCCTAAACAACGGATTACCCAGTGAACCATAGATAAGTCAGACCTTATCTTGTTCTTGTTGTGTTCATTTATACACTTTATTGTATACGAACTACACACATCGTTTATACACATTTTGGTCTTATTAGCGTGTTCCTTCTAGTCACATCACATTCATAGATACTGCGCTAATATACCTGATTCGAAGCATCTCTCTGGGTCTTTGCGTTCGCATGGGTGGCACGTTCCACGTCGCATTACTGACTTTTTAAAAAATCGTTTTTGCTTACATCTTACTATGTGGAACAAGTTTCCCTTACACCATGGAAGTGCATCCGCATGACAAGTGATCTACCGAACAAGCGATTGAACCTACAAATTTACTGCCGTGTAGTGCTTGTGGGTCAGAAGAAAGTCTGGGTAGGGACTACAGAGGTCTGTTGTTCATAAACAGAATGGTTATGTGCTGTACATAACTCCGAACCACTGTTCTATTGGGGTTCGTTTCGGTCTACACCTCCTTTCGTTCCCACCCTCTGCAGTTAGTTCAGGTTGCTTGGCCCACTTTTCCTTTTCACTCGCTGCCAATCGTATCGATCGATCACCTTACTGTTTGCAGCGATGCTGCGCCCGTTCACATTGGGCGGAACCATTTATTCACTGTTCATTCTTCCCATACAGTTATCGTCAACTGGATGATCCATCAACGAATCGGTGGGGCGGCGTTTGATTGACCTCATCTCCGCTGGCATAACGTCAGTTCCATTTGGCCCCCTCACACGCATCAGCGATGTTGATGATGATGGCATCAGCAGTACGCCGGTACGCAGTACCGACGCTTCGCTGCCGCGCAACCACCATCAGTTGCACGTGGGCTAAGGATACTGCGAGTGTCGCCCTGTCCCTACTCAGGCTCGAACCCACGCCATCAGATTACAAAGCAAGCTTATTATCTTTTAGGCTAGGGGCCGGCATCAGCGAACAAATGAGCGAATACTTGAACATGTGAATGAACCAGTGAATCAACTGATTATTTAATGAATAGATGAATGCACTAATGAATAGTGAGATGAATATATGTATGAGCGATTCATTGAGTGAATGATTGGAGCAACACATGGGTAAATGTTCACATGAGAGAGCAAGCGAAAACCCGCATGAATATCTAACTTTACGGGCTATGAATGAATGAATGTATTATCGAGGTTCTTGAAGTTGGAGGGAACGAAAGAGCACTTGGCTGGAGGGTAAAGTACTGTACTCATGAAAATCCGACTACATTTATCAAACGTACGGTGTATAAGTGGATAGTTTGACGCATGTGCAAGTTTGCAAATCGAGCCGACTGATTTGCTTGCAAACGGTCCCTCGCCATTCGCATAGGTTCGATTACTGATGTCTGTTATGAAGTTCGAAAGAAACTGAAACATTCATTCTCCTCAAACCTCTTCAAAGTTTCTATACAGTCTGTGACTCATTCAATACAAATCTTCTCTTCGTTCTACGTCTGTCTGTTCTACCCGATACTGTTGACTTTATTCTTTATGTCCACGAACCGTTTGCATGGAGACGCAGTACCGATTAGATCTTCCCCAGGTCCGAACAATAGACATCTTAGTGTTGTAGCGAATTCGTACATATATGTTTGGCGGCATCCGGTTTCGGATATGCCTGTCACTGTGACAAGCCACAGGACGCCTGCGCCTACAGAGGGACCATGGGTGGCTTGCGCTGCACCACCCACAGCTCCAACCACATACCAACCAACCACATTCAGTGTAAATCCGAAGGAATAAGACCGGGAGGCATGCGAATTCGTACATACTGACAATATTCATTGCAGTATCGGATTGATTTCCACGAATTCGCTTTTCGCCATCAATAATTCTGACCTGTGTACCTTTTTGATCGCTTTCAAAACCGTCGGATTGTTTCATCTTGTCCATGCACATAGATTAACTTGTTTTTCATGGTTAACGGAGACTGCAATGCACACATATCGAGAATCGCGTTGAATTCCGACACCATTTACCCCTACCTTTATCTCATTCGACCTTTTTTCCATCCATTTTAAATCCTCTCCCACACACACACACACACACACACACACCAACCCCAACATGCAGCTGTTCCCGGCCCAGTGAATATCGTGTACAACAGCTCGCAGACCACTGCGACCACTGTCTCCTTTTCCTGGTTACCACCGTCTCAAACCGGCAACAAGCCGATCCGCAAATATCGCATACGTTATTCCCACTCGGAACCGAGTCCAACGGAGTCAAGCATGGGACACAAGCAACAGGTTTGTACTCCATACAGATTGACTTGTGATGATTGATTTGATTCGTTTAGGGAATTGGTCTCAAATGAATTTACCAAAACCATCCATCACGTAGCTGCCGCAAACGATATGTACACCGCATAGACTCAATGTGACTAAATCAGGGGTCTTAAATTTTCTGCACTGCATTCGTTGTCCATTACACGCCACTGATATGACGCAATCCATTGTCCTCTATTATGCAAGCCACTGTCAAGCGGTGGATATAGCGAGGTCTTCAACATCCATCTCTTCTCACACTAGGCATCCTGCCAGCTTACGAAATTCTGAGCTAAATTCGATTGACTGCTGTTCCAAAATGAACATTTGTACATCCGCTGGGTGCATTTCGCTCTCATCACAATCGCGTCCACTTAGGTTTCCTCTATTAACAGTTGTTTCAACGCTTATGCATTAATCGCCAATTAAGTTGCGACTTTACATTTGTTCTTCTATTCACACTGCTCTTGCTCGTAATGCTTCTTGACTTCGAATTCCGGTCTCAAACCGTCTAGCGATTCGAATCCTTTACAAACTATTTCCATTCTGTGGTATCTGATTGGTAGCGCGGGATTAAGTGTCTTTCCGCATACAGTCTTTTCATAATCACTGTGCAATTCTTTCGGTGACCTTGGTTGCTTGAACTGTCACAGTTGATGAATTCGATACAGCGTAATGTCATCCGGCAGCGGCATCTTTGTTGTGCTATTCAAAAGATATTCTACAGACACAAAGCCACACTAGTGCTTGTTATTCGGTAATCGATGCGGGCTCTAACTGCAATTCCCGTTGGTAGCGTCTCTCCTAATGTTTGCCGTTTCTGCCTAACCCTATTAGCGTAGCTTTGTGGTTAAGGAACCAATCAGTCTTCGAGCATCTTTAGACTGGATCCAATCACAGCGAACCTCTGCTCCTTACGTTTACGCATGACTGAGAGTTTATTTACATTTATTCATCAGCAACATTTTTTTCGTTGTCGTTATGCGACACTTCTATGAGTTGGATCCTGACATGCGCAAACCTGCTTATCATTTGATCCACTTCGAATGTGCATCAATTGTCAGATTGCATTTTTACAACTGATCAGCACAACTCCGCCACTATCAACCTGCGATTAGGTATCTTCACACACACACACCCCCACACACACAATGCCACCACATCGGACGTGTCATGAAATTTTTTACTGACATACAGGGACTTGTTAAGTGTGCCTGGTGAATTACGCATTCCCCAAGTTGGATTAAACCTATTTGTTTCTGCCACTCGTAGACCTATGCATCGTCGCGAACCTTGAACATATTGTGATTAAGTGCGACCGGTAATCTCTCTTAATTAGCTTTGTCCCTGCACGCCGTCTCATATGCTCTTGATCCATTTGTGGCGTCTGTTTCTATCTGTCTCTATGACAATAGCCCAATACCACGGATATCGAGGTAGACGCGACTGCCCGTCGCATCGACCTGAAGGATCTGCGACCATACACCATGTATCGTATCACCGTAGTGGCTATAAACGATGTCGGACCGAGTGAGGAGAGCGTCTTGCCACTGACTACTCAGGAAGCGAGTAAGTTGGTCACACCATGACCTTTTCTTTTTACACTCAAGGCCAGTTAAAGTTCTGCATTTGCTTGAAATTGTGCGGGAGATGGTGACCCGCCCCTTCCCTCGACATTGGGATCATCATGTCGCATATACGCTCCCGGGCATAGTCACCGCACCTTTCAACGCTTCCCTTCGAATTACATATTCTTTTCCATGAAACTGATACGGACTGACTTATTTCCAATAAGACACAGCTCGAATTTCTTATCCGTGTATCCACGAGGCCAATCAGTTCCTACGTCCTCACATATATCGTCTTGGCCTCCAGGTAAATCTCCCTTTTACCTGCCGTTGGTGACCACTGTTCCAAAGTTATTTGAACACCATCTACATACACATCCCCTTGATTCGAAATAATCAAAGAACCAACATGTGTAATTTCTTCCTCGAATTCACCAAACTAGTTTGTTTATTGGAGGGTCAAGTTTGTGCAGTGTTTTCGGGTGAGCAACACCCAATTTCCTTCTAATTTGTTTATTGTTATCTTGTGGTCAGAATTAAGGAATATTAGCATCTTCGAATGTTCCATTTATCTCATATTCTGCGTCTATTCACAAAGTGATATAATGGATGCTTCGTGGCATACAATGCGGATACCATACTACAAGAGGGTCTCGTTTCGCAAACCGGCCCATTTTCAAACCGTTTTTTCAGCCCCCAAGAAGACAGTACTGCACCACCATTGTCCAGTTCTGTATCGTTTTGTCCCGTTCCAGGTCAACACATCTCGGTGAAATGCTTCATATTCGTTGGCTAATGAGTGCTCTACTGTGAAACCACTTCACAATTGAATTGTATGTCCAGTGGATGACTTGTTTGTTTGCGTTGTTCATCACCTTCTTCTCCATCGATCATAGATTTCAGCAAATTCAACGAATGTCGCTTAGGCTTTTCCTCACCCTCCAACTATGTGTCCTTCACCTTATCAAGTGACATCTTGTTTAATGAGTGGCCGTACTAAATGAGACGGTCTACAAAAGTAGCTGGTTTTCGAACTACACGATACGCATATCATTCGTCTTTAGCCTCGTTTTGTGTGAACAAATTGATTTTCCGCTTTCTTATATTTAGTGTGTACAAAGCATTTCAAATAACCACTGTTCCCTTTGACATAGTGATATTTTCTATTTGCACACTGCGGCTAATTGGTTCGAACTCCGACAACAGATTGCACATATTTCCTGTTCCCACTGATTCCGAATCTATAAATTGCGCCCATTTGGGTGTTAAAATCACTCTGAGCGGATTCCGTTGGACAACTGCTTTTGTGCTATTCGACCGGGGAGTTAGATCAGAGCCACCACCACCATTGCTTCGGCAAAACCTCCCACGGGACATAATACCGAATGGTTTAACGATGAGTACTGTAAGGAGTCATCCTTTCTCTTTCGTAGGTATGCGACCACCGATATTACGATCGCTGTCAATGACATCGAATTTCAATCGGTTGTTTATCTAAGCTCGCGGACTGCTCAGAGTCCGCTTCTGGTCGATAGTTGTCGCACCGACAATGGCACTCGCCTTACTTAACTGTGCACTAACCACAACTATGATGGTGGTTGAAAGCTGGGGCGAACCGAATCGCCTGCCTCAGTGCGGTCGATAAAGCGATCGATCGAATGGGCAAGTGAGTTTTAAATACACAGCTAGTTGCACTTTGTCTCAGATTTGTGAATAGAGCGTTTGTGTGCAGAGTCGGCGCGAGTTCTTTCTGTCGACGCGGCTGGGTGAACCAAGCACAAAACATGGTGTCAGAGGTACAAATATGCCAAAACTTGCTTGTCATTGAGGACCAATCAATGGTCTCATTGCCAACCCCGCTAGAGATGAGAGAAAGCACATTGTCGGTCAACTGGGAAGCGTGGAAAGCGGATTGGATGAAATTCTCGGCGTTGATCCAATTGGATGAATATGCAAGACCATACCAGTTGGCAATGTTCAGATACTCCATCGGCTCTGAAGCAAGTCGGATAATGGAGGCCTGGGATCTTTGGGACAATAAACCGGATCTTTTGGAAATCATGGAACGTTTTGACGGATACTGGGAAGGTCGATCGTATATTTTTACCCACTGCCGTCGAGTAAGCGAGAATCGTTCAGTCGAGCCTGAAAGCGATCAACAGTCGCAAGAGCGATTACCAAATAACTTGGAAAATCAAGAAGATCAGCAGTGCATCTCTGCAATACCCCAGATTCAAGGATTACCAGTACCGTCAAGACTTGATTCAAGAGCCACCGTGAGTACGTCGCCCTGGAAACAATACGGCGGAATGCAGTGTCGTGTGAAACAGAGTTGCCACAAAAGGCGGAACGACTTCACAGTGCACCCAAAGGGGAAGGCTGTGGTGGACGCCTTCAAGAAAGCAAAAAACTTATCGAAATCAAAGTGACGCATGAGGATCCATATCTAATACAACTGGGAAGAAATGCGCATTCTATCGCATTCGGTATCAGTCTAGTGCAGCTCCAATTCAGTCACAGGATAGACCGCAAGCTCGTCCGTAGTGGACGAGGAAATGGTAACTGCAACACAAGAACTACGAATAAAAGAAAAAGGAAAGTATGTGATGGTGGCTGGAAGCTGGGCCGAACCGAATCACGTGCCTCAGTGCGGTCGATAAGGCGATCGATCGAGTGGGCGAGTTTTAAATACCCAGCTAGTTGTACTTTGCCTCAAATTTGTGAATAGAGCGTCTGTGTGCAAAGTCGGTGCAAGTTCTTTCTGTCGATGCGGCTGGGTGAACCAAGCACAAAACAACAACCTCCATAGCAGCAATGCAAGCATCATTTGTGATCCACCGGGTGATGCGCTGCTTTAAACTCAGGTTGGGTATATTGCAACCGACCACACAAATAGTGGAGGATTGGTTTTTCATGCATCGACTGTTTTTCCCAAGTACAGAGATTGGTCCTGAAACAATGTCCGGCCGGGACCACGAAATTGGCTCGAAACAATAACAAGGCGAAGGTCTGCTAATAGACAATTCACGGGTTGAAATGAAAACATCGTTGCGGAAGCAGTGTTTACAGAATATGGACAAAGACATCGATTTACCGGCTTGGTCGACACGTTCAAGATCAGCTTCATCGCTGTTTGGACTCTTGTGAATATTTGGACTCTGACTTATAGTATTTATCACAACTGCCAAACATTGTTCAATTTTGTGTCCCATGGAGTTTCGATGTGGGCTGCAGACTTCGGTCAGTAGAATCACATTTCAGGTGAAATTTGTGTCGATTTTATACACACTTAACAAATGTTCAAGAAACCCAGTGACAATATCCTAACCATTATTACAGGCGTAGCTTGTATATGGGCTCTGATGCATTAGCTACCGCATCCCTTCACATCCTCTGATAACCAGCGATCCCTTTCCGTCGTGCCGAAACTTGTTCTGGAAGATCACAGCACAGCGCTGGAAGTGTCGAACTCATTGATGTGCTATTCAACCTTGTGAGTAGCTTAAGAAACAAGGCGCGCTACTTGAATCCGTCTGCTGACAGATTTCGTCTTGATGTGGCGTGTCTACTGCTACATGACTGGACCAACACACCTCTAGCACAGAACAACCAATTGACGCGTTGGATCAAGTCACTCATCTATGTAAACACATCAACTCTAGTAGCGTAGTAACCGAGGTAGTTAGGGCATACATCGATGTGGTCTTTATGGCTTTTCCAATCCTCGGCCACTCGTTGTCATCACAACAACTCGATCTGTCAGTCACAGGTAAGATCCGCAACTGTGCTACGCAGTCCGTCTCACTATGGAGCAGACGTATGTCCACAGCTTGCCGTGCTTACCAAGCGGCGATGGTGCAATGCTGCTGGAGTCTGCAGAACATCGGAAAAGTAACACGGAATTTCGTTAGTCGACGTTTGATAACGGGACTAGGTGTCTACTAAAATCGAATCACCCACACCGGTGAAGTCACGTCCTTCACATTTTTTGACCGGCTGTCCCGGTGTTTAGTATTTGCCATTTGTGCATCTACGTGGCCGATCGTTGGCTTGGCAAAGTGTATGGGGAGAACAATCCTAGACGCTTGTTGCTCAGGTGGTAACTACGGGAACAACCACTTTAACGATCATGAACCCTACCAGACAAAGCGCGTTCACGAAGGTAGCGGCACTCACATTCACCATATGCTTCTTTCCACCGAGTCATTCGGGCTTTTTTACTGTCTAAGCTTTTTGTTATCTTTCACATTCCCCTGTTATGGTGACTTGATTTAGGTAACCGGATATAATACTTTTTCTACAGCTAGTTTGTTGAACTCATCTATTACGCGGATTCAGAGGTGAACCATTTCGCCGCGTATTTTACCCCTTGTCAAGTCAACTTCGGACCAGTTTTTGCCTCCATACAAAATGGCGTGTGTTTTGTAGTGTTTTTCACATTATTTCTCGCATGTGGGCCACTTCTGTTCCATCATGTTGTATCCGATGCAACCGTGCGCCTTTCGCCAATTCCAGTGATAACCATTCCGCTAGTATACTTAATTGTACGGACTAGTGTTGGCTTCGTCTATCCACCCTCGCGCCCACTGTGGATGCCAAGTTGTTTTCCATTTCATTTGAAATCGTCTCATCCACCTGTCTCTACTTTTGTCCCGCTCAGAGCCCAGTGGCCCCGTACGCCAGCTGACTGCCAACGGGACCGCCTCGGACACGATTGTGGTCAACTGGGAGAACCCTGCCCCGGAGCACTCAAATGGGAATGTGGATCGATATTGGATTTGCAGACAACGCATTAATGGCAGTCTCTCCTCGCCCGAGTTGGCCCAGCTGCCTTGGCCTGATGAGTCAGCAGATCACATGACCAACACGTGAGTCAGTCCACTGTGGCTATTGCGATCGGCCGCACCAATTTTGCTTGTCCCACCTCTCCTCTTTCCCCCATGTGGGGTAAGGAAAATAGGCTACATCGCCAGCGGACAGTTACACCCGCCGTACTTGCATGAAATGGTTGGTTGTATTACAACCAATCAGGCTGTAAGCATGTAATCCATTCGTATATACAAATTCGCATTGGCCACTAACGTTTCTCGTCGATTATGTAATGAAAGACAGCGTGACTCTACATTGGGAGAATCATTGTGTGACTGACACTGTTGTATTCGGAGGACCGATTGTCCGCACGTACCTGATATCTCATTGCTCGAGTAAACTCTGCCTTCACGAGAGACCAAATATCCGTTTTCTGCTTTGTAGCCTCCGACGCTGCTCCGGAATAGTTTTCTAAATATGTCATTCATCAGAACAAGAACGGATGGCAGTTGGCTGTACAGAGTGCCTACGTCTAAATCCAGTGGGTATCAGCTCACCTGTACTGCATGGTTGTGTTCGTAGTCCCGTTGGTTTTCCGCTTTTCTCCGCTTAGTTACACAAATCGCATTTCATTGAGCACTTTTCCCAATCTGGATCTTCAGATGGATGTATACCACACTACACACTCTACTTACACAGTACAGTCTTCGTGTGTTTCACTCAGGTCCAATCGATTTATCGTGGTCTAATTGTAGACATTGGATACAGTGCCATCTGCGTCATAGATCCGTGCACCTTACCTAGATGCTTTTCGCCCCCATAACTGATTATGCCGTCGTTTGTGAACAGATGTTTCCAAAACTCACGTGGACCTTTGCTGACGTATGTGTTTAGCTGACAGTTGCCTGAGGTCCGATAGTTTTATTTATGAAATTAGACAATTTCCTTGACACCAATTTATCATTGGCTAAGTGCGATGTCAAATTTGTCTATGTGGTTGTTGAAAAATCAACATCCTTAAGCAGCAAGCAACCGGAGAGATCAAGCGACTACGAGACACGGTCGAGAGTGGATTCCCGAATGATGATCGTTCCTGCAAGCATGCATTAAATCAAGGTCGTTTTTGATTTACTTTGGGTGATGGAGATTGGACCAACTGGTGTGTTAGGCCGTATCATACCTCGTGTGTTTTGTGTGTCAGATTGAGGCAAACCAGTAACGGGGAACATTATCAACTACATGAGTGACGGTGACGTCAGCAGGTCACTAGGGCGGTGCTTAAAAGTAATTATCGGAATCGCGACCTTGATTTATGGCCAATTGTCTTGCATATTCGTATGGTGGTCATTACGTACGTCAACTAGCCTCACCACAAATCCAAATTCGTAATTTACGGCTTTGCCCACTAAAGCCAACCAACCGGTGCACAGGGCTCAACGTTAGGCATCTTCGCAATGGTCCTGCAAAGGGGATAAGCGCCACGCCATGCACGTTGCACGCGAACAGCTTAACCGTTCGCGTGCCCACAGAACGGGCTCCGATACACAGGAGGTGGATCAACACATGACTGTCGGACGCAGCATATTCACGTCACACTACGGGCTCAATGGTCCGCGATAACCTACTGGTACTGTGGTTAACTACCCCATTGGCCTTATTATCCTGAGACAAACACGTGACATGGAAGTCAGATAGATGACGGAGTTGCTAGGGCTAGGGAAGGCTACACAATTGTAGTCTCGTCTTAAACCAGTCAGAGATTACGGTATCGTCTGAACCGGTGCGGCACATTAGGACAGGTAGGAGAAAAGTAGATAGGTTTTGGATGGCGCAACATAGATGCTCCTCGCTAGCACTTTGGGGTTCCCAATCTTGGGATACATCACGTCGAGGCCATCTAGCTGAGCTCTAATGGCGGTCGAGGTCTATTTTCCGAAATATCCTACTTGAGATACCACCAAATCTGTTTTGCCCCCTTAGTTTGCGCATTGCTCTAGTGGCCCGTGTAGGCAATGCTCACTGAGTCAGTGTTATTTTAGCCTCTGGTCCTAATTCATTTGCTACCGTCTAGGTACGCCCATCCACCGAGTAAGTTATGTGGCACGGCGTCACTTGCGATAGAGCCATGTGATCGGGCTACCTGTTTTCCTCCACTCGACGGAGTTGACCTGAGGCGCTGACCGTTCTCCACGAACTGTCTGATGAGTTATTTGTATGTTGCCTATTTGAGTGGATTGTGAACCGGCGACGATTGAATTACCCACAAGTGTTAACAAAAGGTAAGCGGTTGAAGCATGCGGGATAGGAAGTCACCCGAGCGTCCGTATATCGCTCTGCAATCTGCGAGTTTATTTTCCTCCGACGTTTCGGTTTAATCCTCCTCATTTACAAGCCCACATTTTGTGTCTGAGCTAGAGACGGACTTTCCTTCTCTTCTGCCCCTTTGAATGAATCACTGGCCGCTTACTGCTGCTGAGGTTCGGTAGGATAACGTCTTCTTTCCGCTTCTTTACCGCTATCAGTTTGCACCATCTCCATCTCACTTCGGTAGGCGTAGGCAATAGTGAAAGCTACGAGAGGGCCTATTTGCTCACATGATGGTCAAAACGGAGTGTTTACACAGAATCGTCTTCCAACATAGTGCCAGGGTACAGTGTCAAGATCACACGTTGTCTAGTGTGTGGGTGTTAGACGAGCGACAATCATTCAGGTATGTTTATGCAGACCTTCGTACCTGCAAGCCATCGTTTTGTTGTTGTAATTCAGCAATGTTTGTTTTAACGTATCACTTCGTTAGTGACCTTGGTTGTTTAAGTTCGTTGTTTTTGTGTGCGGATCACGGTTCCGATCTGATGCTAACGTTACCACCTTCCTTCCTTTTTGTTCATCTGATTGGGTCCTTATTTGGTCAATCCTTATTGACTTTGTCTGTTCGCACGCCTTCACTGCTGTAGTTCGTCTTTACATCTACGCGTCCCGCTATACAGCAATGTCGTTTCTCTATGAAAAGTACCCTTGGATCCTGTTCCTGTTTGTGCGTGTTCTCACTACCGTTATTGCGTGGAAGCAGCCGCGGAGCTCGACACAACAGTTAGACGGTTAGCTGGCCTCTGTGCCTAACCACTCCCGGCTCCATCTGTTTTGCTGACATATAAATATGTCTGTAAATTACCGTTTTCATAAGCTCACTATTGATTAGTTTACTTGTGTTTGGAAGAATGGGATCTGTATGTTTTAGATGTTTAGCTCAGTAGAAATGCTTATGCCCTTAGCCTACTACTCCACTTTCCAAATCTGTTGTCTGCCGCCGGGTTCAAGTCTTACCTCGGCTACTTCCACCTGAGGAGTGTTCTGATAGACCGGTAGTCTACCGCACCACTGGTTACAGACAAGATCCCCTACGTCCTGTCACCATGCTTGCTGCGCTCACTCACCTTCGTTCCAGTCGATATTTGGTCGACGGGCACTCATTCAGTTTACAAAATTACCTAGCACTGTGGACTCTTTATTACACCGAAACTGGCCTTCCCGGCTATTTCTCACGGATTGTCATCGTCCACTATAGCCTGCATACTTTACAATTTCACACACGAGACTTTCAACGTCATCCATAGGATGAATAAGGCAATCAATCTAACATAAAAGTTAACTATTTTCCTTTTGCTTTTTTTGGACTATTCTTTGTAGTCCCACTGTACAAGACACGCTTGAGACTGTGGCACTGGCGCTTCTCTCTTTGCAACGGTCATCTAAAATGCGTCGATTTCACCATTCACTCTACTCAGAAGGTGTACTCACGGTGCTACTCTCGTCCGCATGTTCCAGGGTATCAGCCGTATGCGCGTTGCCGTTATGTTTCATGGGGAATAAGTAGCCATCCAGGGTTGCTCATGAGATTTTTTGATCATCTTCTAAATTGACTAAAGCTGTTTTTGCTTCCGCTTGCTAATGAGTGTCTGAGCTAAGGATAGCAGTCAGAATTCAACCATAAACTACCCTCAACCTTGCTTCCAATGCACAGTCTCCCTTACCGCAGTGCCAGCACAGTGCGTGGCCGTTATGGTTCCATCAATTGTGCCAAAGTGTTTCGCCAGCGAGATTACGAAGTCACTGGTTTGCCAAAGTTCACCGCATACGCTTTCCGAGTGATTGCAATGAACAGTAAAGGAGCTTCGCCACCAGCTTTCGTCCAAGCGAGGACATTGGAAGACCGTGAGTAATGAAGGTGTTCACAGTCTGTTGTTTTAGTGCTTCACCTCTTGAGTTTGTACTTCTAGTCCGCAGCATTACACATTGTCTTTGAGTATTGATCCCTCAACTATTTTGTCCCAGCAATCTTCCTAATCAATCTTATGATCGGATACTCATCTACCTCATCTAAATCGTCAAAGGGGCCACGCATTTTACCACTTCCTTCATATCGATCTGTCTGCCAAATTGATGTTTCCGCATGCTTGCCTCACATAGTCCGTATGCTACTCTGCGTCACGCGTCAAGTCAATTTTGCTAGATAATCACTTGTCACTCCCGGCTCCGAACTTGAAGATTCTCGAACCACAGTTATTCTTCCGTAGCCACTTCGTCACCACCGGCCGGGTCACGCATGCATACACGATGTACTCGTCATGGACCACACGTCACCACAACATCTACTCATTCGAAATAACTCGGAGTGCTGGTAGCTCGCTGTTTAGTTACTGAGTTGCTCACCGAGATGGGCACTTTGCTAGGAAACGTTTCCTCACCATTCGAAGTGTCCTTATCGGTGCAGAGGGCGACTCTTAGCGGTGAGTATTTCTCAGCAGGATTTTTGTAAGGATTGCTATAAGTGGGCGCCGTAGAATAGCAACAAATTTCGACTTTAGAATATCCCTGCGTTGAGACAATTTCCTTAATGACTTGTCAAATGGTAATATGTGTAGCGGGGTAACACAAATGTTGACAAATCTCAATATTTAGTAGCGAAAGACAAGCAAATCGTAGACCAGCAGCGTAGAAATAGATCTTCCGTGGTTTTTTTGAATATCCCCTTCAGATCGTGGCTCAGTGGACACTTAGACACTTCACTGATTTGGAGGAGTGCAACCCCTCTATATGAAACCCAGGACACTTCATAAGGACTTGTTGATAGCAACCTCCTTTTTGTGTCAGTTCATGTCCTTAAGGATCACAATCTTGCCTTGTAATCCTAGGGCGCAGGTTCGAGCCTGCGTAAGGAACCAGGCGACCCTCGCATTACCCTTAGTCTAAGCGCGACTGTTGGTGTTTGCGCGGCAACGAAGCGTCGGTACTACGCACCCGTGTACTGATGATGCCTATTTCTTCCTCCTTTGTGTACCGAAAACTATAGGCCATTACATTTTAATGCATCATGTGACAGATCACAATCTTTAGCTCACAATGCAGTGTTATCCGGAAAGATAGATGAGGCTATGCTCGATGTGCGATACCCAAGACGACGTCAAGTTTTGTGAACTGACTTGACGACATTACATTTCTCTAAAGAACTCCAGCATTTATGATGAACGGTGAAGATCTTTAGCCACTAACTCGGGTAACTTGAGAATATCTGGTGAAATGGTTCTACAGAGGACAGATGATAGATATTTGAATTTCGGTAGCATACGGGTTTCTCAAAAGTAGCTCACCGTCTGCGCGACCGAAAGCATTATTGCAGTCACAAAAGCATAACCTCATGGATTTATTCTATCGTATATCGGTGATAGCAACGAATGTACGGGGTAGGCTATGGTTTCTTGGACAGACCTAGAACTGCTGTAAACAAACTGAAGCGAATCATCCATACACGTTTGACAATGTGTCTTCCGTAATGATTCCATCAAAAAGTCTTGAAATTTACTGAAATGCACGCAATCGACCGACATTTGTTTGATCCACTCCTTGACACTGGTGTGCCTTCATGTTTTCTCACGGACCACAGATATAAACCAGCGAGCGGCTGGATCAAGGAACCAGCTTACCTGATCTCGTAGACGAGAATAACAAAAAGAACGCTTTTTGTGAACTTACCGAAAGGTTAACATGTGAACCACTTTTTTTCGCCATGTCGTGGCCCGTTGAGCTCAGGTTAAAGCGCATAATGTGGTGTATCATCAAGCCGTTTTTTGAATATTCATGGCTTAGCAACGGAAAGCACGATAGTCGGAGGTACCTTTCTCCGTAGGCGTACCCGAAGAGCGACGACGTTCCGGTAATCTTCCGACTTGTAATGGGTAGCCAACTGCAGCTGTTAGCCCCTCCGACCAGTGTTGTGGGTATATTTTTATAGCTGGTGGTAGGCGTGGCCGTGGCCTTTGAATTCCGGCTACGCTATTATGATTTTCCCCAGACACAGTAATCGTTTGTTGTGAGCGCTTGAGGTCTTCAGTCTAAGTTGGAAAAGGACGCAGTGCAGGCGCTTAACATTTTGAGTCCTCCTTCGTTGTGAAGTCTCAAGCGCAGCGAGGTCGTTCCTTTGTTGCGGCTGCTAAGCCTGGACAGGATTCAGCAGGGGTTCCCACACAAGCGTCGGGCATTTGCAGAGAATTGGTGGGGTCGAATCACCCGCACCCCCCCCCCAATAGGCTTAAGAGCTGGGTGACCATTCTCGTTGGATTTTCCACCCGATTTGAACAACCGAATTAATGCAGCACGTTCACTCCGAGATCCGTTTCATGGGAAGCGCGACACAATACAGTTTTCCGACCTTCTGGAAATCATCTGACTCTGGAAATCAGCCGTCCCCTTTTCCTCATTGTTTACTCTGATCGTCACATAGCTGAGCTTCGATCCCAGAAACTTATCCAATCATTGCCAATCTTGCCAGTTGAAATTTGCCCTGCACTTATCTTCATTCGGCTCATCTGTTTCTAGCGATACCCGACACGGACACGCGTAATGCAAGCGCATTTGCAAGTTCTCCCAAATTACTTCAATGCCACTTTTCGCAGGCTCCACTAAACGCACCTGAGTGTGGGTGGTCTCCATCGCTTCCCCTGCATAACGGTTTTCTCTAAGCCATTGCTGACTTCCAGTTGACTTTTCTCCATCAGATTAACAAACCGACTTAGCATTTACATGTGCACCTTTCTCAACCCTGATCAGTGCCTCAAGCGCCTCCATCGGATGTCACCTGCGCTTCGCAACAACACAGCATCACTGTCTCCTGGAATCCACCTGATCCGGATACCATAAATGGTATTTTGACTGAATACCATGTGAACTACTTCACCGCAAACGTGTATGGAGGTAAGTAGATTATTTTACTGTTTAAATAAGTCGAATTCGCGGATACCTGGAGAGGTGTGCTCCAGAGCGCATACTTGTGCTCGTGCGCTATCTCCTACCATATTTTGCTATGAAATACCAATTACCATGGCTTAAGGCTGTCACAAGCCACGGTTTATTGCCAAGCTGCTCCTCTGGGTCTCCGCTCCAGTGTTTTCCGTTATTACGTGAAAGAGAACGTTTTATCTTAAAGACATCAATTTGTGATGAGAAACTGCGTGTACCAGTGCTTCGGAGGTGAGGAATCAGTCTGCCTAATTTTTTGATAGCAATAAGGATATCCCTCACCTCCGCGCTTGTTCCCTGGAATCGCATTTTTCAGTGGAACGTTATTTGACTACTCACTGTCCTGAAGTATCTCAGCACACCTATGAGTGTTTCCCTGGTACTGCAGCAGAATGGCTTACAGTCGCAGCCACTTTCACCACGCTTCCCTCAAGTGCCCCTTGAATTGTTCGGCCCCATCGTTGGTGTGTATGGTATGCCATGCATAAAACAGTCTGTTGCGCGGCTTTTCAATGCACCTATCATCCTGAACAACAGAAACAAATCCGGAACGTCGTTTGAACTCTAGCAGTTATCTCACTTACCTCTTACTTGTTGCCATTGCGAGCCCCTTTCGCTGCATACAGCGCACAAGTAGACTCATCCAGGAACGATGAAATTTCCAATAGTGAGCTGCAACTTAACCAAGTAGGAAATTACGCACTGCTATAGATCCGTCTTTCGAATAGTCACCGGTCTCCTATTTGATTGTTAAAGACGTCGTTCAAACCCAACTCGATCTGAAACGAGCAGCACGATTGTCGGGGTTTCTATGACTACAGACGTGGTATACATATGTCCTTTTAACCTTTATCAAAACATTGCATCCCTCGTGTATTGCCCTCCTGTGGTCACAAATTCTGAGGCTGTTCCCTGGGGCTTTTTTCTGACTAATGAATATCACAGCCTAACGCATCCAGCCATTTTTTATTCCCAGCTTCACACCGGTAGCGTTTTTATCACTCACATACTATCGTTGTTGATTGATTAATCAGTAGATCAATCTTTCAACGATCCATACCCATCTGTCAAGTGCAGGTTTTGGTTTCTCCGGTGTGTGTGTGTGTGTGTGTGTGTGTATGTGTGTGTGTGTGTGTGTGTGTGACATGTGAGGCTGTGTGTTTGGGTTAGTCTGCCTCCATTTTTTGCTGCGCTCCGCCAATTGGACTAAAAGCCAGGTGTTGAACCTTAAAATCCAGGAATTATTTGTTACCTGGACGCTAGGCGGAAACAGATATATTTGCGGACTTGTCTCGCGAGTCGTCTTAAGGTTTTAAACTATCCTCTCGAACTGCCGGTTGACTCATTTCCTGCCTGACTTGCATACCGTCTCACTTGTAACTTCGCCTCTTCCGATCCTGTTGTGTAACTCTCCAGCATGAGTGCTGGGCTTCTATCAGTTTGTTGCTTACAATCTGACTTGGTATTCACATGTTCACCTAAGTGTGATACTATTGGGAGAACATCAAGTAGTTCCGCGATAACACGTACCCTCAGCACAGACTCCAATACTCGAATGGGTAATCAAATGGGTACGCCGCACGGCATTGCCAGTGCGACCACGTGACTTCCAAACAAAAATGCAGCATATTTTCATGAGAAACGTTGTCCCGCCCGGTGTGAGGAGTCCTTGAGCTATGAATAGGAGGGCGTCCCGACCTGTGTCGTCTTTTGCTGGGTCAGTTAAAGCGTTCATGCGAGAGACCTGTCCGTTTCCTTTCTCCCTCCTACATGGTGTGGTTATGCGGACACGTTCGTCTCGCTTGGGTGCGTCACTCAGTTGGCAGGGTTTTCGCCCACCGTGTATACAGCGGCCAGGTTTCATGAGGGTGCAATCGGTCCGAATTTCGTAATCATCTACTCGACGCTCGGGGCCGGCACTAAGCGAATATCAATGGATTTATCCAACGAAAGGGGCCCATATCAGGTACTTCATTGTTAGGACAATTTGTAGTTGGCTCTTCGTTTCACTCGTGACTTGCACGAGTCAAACTTCGTTGCCGCATCAGCCTATCGCATTTCTCCACGCTCTAAAGGGAGTTGCACATTATACTTTCACTTGCGCTATTCGTTTGTAGCCAGTCCAACCTCCATGTGATCGTCGTTTCTTGCTGATACAATGGACCGGTACGATAATGATCTCTGACTGGCGATATTTCCACCGATCTTCTCTCTGTTTACTATTTCCGACCTGTAAACTGTCTCCACGGATGCAGTCAAACGTAGATCCTCGTGATGACATCGTCACCAACTTGCTGTTTGGAGTATACCCCTTACTGAGAGACACTGCACAGATGTTTCTTAAATGTGTTACTTTAGTACTTACAGTAGCTGGCCTATAATCGGCCTGACAGTTTCTCGCAAACCCAGTTGATCTTTCACTTCCGATGGATATGTACGCTGATCTGAGCAGTCACGAGGTACACCATACTTTCGAACGACGCCTTGATCACCTGTTGACGACGGTTCAACAAACAGGGTGTTTCTCTCTTTCACACAAAAACAGATGTACTAGAGTAGAGAAGCTTATCTATTAGCACGTGTGGAGTGCATGCTGGTGCAACTTGGTTCCCAGTCGACAAACCATTCGGGTAGCGCACCAGCTCCTCCCGATACTCTCGAATAAGGCGGTGTCGCACCGAGTAACGCTCGGTTGTCGACTATCACCTAAATGGCTAGACAATTTCCTAGGTCATTGGTATTTAATATAAGGTTTATCTTCCCGAAGGCACTGATTGATGCCGCGTTTATACTTTCCCAGGTCGATCCCTCGAACAAGTATATAAACTAGGGCGGAGCACTCGGATTGTGAGCGTCTCGACTTTTTCCTCCTTTTTCCATCTGTTCGGTACCTCACTACCTTTTTAAAATGTTATGGGCTATGCTGTCTGAAATGCTGCGTCGTTTGACTCAACCAGTCACAACTTTGCTTCCTTCCTCGATGATACCGTAAATTTAACTACATTCCTACATTGTCCTCAACTTTTGGCCCCCCCCCGCCGCACACTCTCCACAATGGTAAGCGAATACTATGATTTCGTAAAACTTGCCCAATAGCTATGAATTGCCCGCAACAAATCATGCTTTGCAATTATGTATTTCCCAGACGAGACTAGCTCAATCAATCAGGCAGTCAAAGGACAAACTACCGTGACTCTAGCAGGGTTGCTGGCCTACACAAATTACACCATACAGGTTGCGGTTAGCAATCGTAAGGGCAGAGGTCCGGCGTCTCCACGGATAATCTGTTTGACCAAAGAAGCTCCACCAGTGGCGCCTGGTAAGTGTACCTATCTGTGTTGCTTTTTGCCCTCCTCTCCACATGCGTTCATTGTGGATATGGTAACCATTCTCTCTCTCTCCTCTGTTCCTCTCTTTCAGATCAGATAAAAGCAAGAACTGTCAATGACTCCTGTGTTGTCATTTCCTGGTCACATCCGCGCAAACCACAAGGTATGACAAGAGAATATTGCCTGGAGGCGGTTCCTTTGATGAATGGTCCTCGTGACGGATTCATCGATTTCCTGAACACGCCCTACACGGACAAAACCAGAGGGAGTCATTGCGTTCGCCCAGATTTCTCCACCTCTTACAACCATTACGTCTATTGTGGTAAGTCAAGCAGGTTAATCTTATCGTCGGCGGCTGCAATTTGTGTTGTAGAGTATTAAAAAGCACTAGCGGTACGCAGTGCCCACTGCTTCGCTGTCGCGTAACCACCACCAGTTACACGTGGGCTAAGAATATCGCGAGCGTTGCCCTACCCCCTACGCGGGCTCGAACCCGCGCCCTCGGATTACAAGACAGGCTTGTTTTCCTTAAGGCCACTGCCGACCTCTGTGTTGTGGGCCTATGAACCAGTTGGTTGCTCACTGGAGTGCCAACGAGTTGCCTATAGGACGCCTGTAGGGCGGTGCCAGAGCAATGGCGCAATGGATGAGTCTCTCACCGCCATATTCGTTGTATCGAACTTCGTTGAGCTGGTTAGTTGTTGCATGATTTACAGAGCTGGGTAGTTTGGTTGCCATCATGTTACTCAACCCGGCGAGCAACACAAACAACATGAGCTACTAGTATTTCGGGTTATCTAACGAACTGGCGGCGTGTTAGACAGTGAGGACTGGTTCTCTCTCATCGTACTCACCGTACTCAATTGGATGCACCATAACAATGCAGTTGACACGAACGTTTGCTTCCGCTGCCTCAAGCATGTCAACAGCTACGCGACATCCAGGCAACTCCGTCTGTGTTGTTGTTAACTTTCGAGGTTTATTCATAAGGTGACACAGCTCGCACCACCGTGAGAGTTCCTTGTTCACCAAAGACCACATCACAGCACATCATAGCACAATTCGATTGTTCGTTTACCGTCAGTCCTTTACAGTGGAACGAGTTGCCTTACCTTTCATTACCATGCACCAAAAGTTGACAATGGAGAGACGGTAATACGATAACCCAAACCAAGGGAGGTTGAAAACGGTGTAGGTATCGGACGAATGGACCAAGTACAAACAATAGGTGAATGATAGCGGTGAGCCTGATAGATAATGTGGCCATTTTCGTGGACTCCACTCAGCAACACAACGCGCACACACGAGGAAAAAGTCTTCTGACATCGCTTTTCTGACTCACGCTAGAGCTTCGCCTAACGCATCACCTTCTCCGCTGCCAAGACGGAGGTGAAAAGGCGGTGTGTGTGTGTGTGTGTGTGTGTGTGTGTGTGTGTAAAAATGTCCGCGCAAAGCAACTTATCAACAGATCTACTGGGGAGTAACAAAAGTGCCAGACTCGAAGTAGTCGGGTGTTGAAATGGACTGAATGCTTATTTCTGAGGGCCTCTATACATAACAATGGCCCTGAAGACGAACTAATATGATGGCTCACTTAAAGCTTTTAAATAATCACTTTCCTCCTGCTCTCAACTCTTGCATCTTTCTAACATTTTTACTGATCGAATACCCCGAAAACCTATCTGAGAGCTGCTTTGGATAAGTTAAAGAAATGCCTGTTGTTTACGATCCTGTTATGTCAAATGATTAGACTACCTCGTTAAACTTTAACTCTCAGTCGAGAAATATACAATCTACACAAACATAATCCGTATAACATGTATGTGTGTGTGCAGCTTCTTTTGTAGTCCCATGGATTACCCCATGGAGTTCATTATCATGGTCCAACTGCCTACCCCTATCAGAACTCAGTCACTGACCACAGCAGTGAAGCATTAGAGGCGCACACACTTTTTTCAATCAATCGCTGGTTCCACCTCGTACCCCACAATATTCACTGTGTATACGGCAGCATCTTACACCTTGGCTTCGGCGGACAGACGGTCGTCTCCTTTTCCTTAGAAGCACTCATCAACGACCTCGGTTACAGTGCTCTTTTCTTTCCCCCTCACTGCTAACAATACATCCGACTGTATGGTCCAACCACTCTTTAGTGTTTGGTGGATGTTCGTCATTCACGTAAACATGAAGAGATTCTGTCCTGGCATGTGGTTTCATTTTGGATAGTAGGCTCGACTGCCGAAACCTGGAGTAGGTTGCACCAAGCTACAAAGCGACAATTGCACTACACCGCATATGTTTGCGTGCCTTGCCTTCCCCCCCTTCAACTCGCAACAGGCCGTTAGCAGTCAGCTCTGTTTGATGAACTGGGGACAAGTTCTCGAGGAGCATTGCGGAGCCTTGAAATTTTGGGTTAGAACTAGATCCCTTTTTTCATGTGATAAGCAGGTTTACGCATCAGCTGAATGATTAACATACTTCGATCTACGGGCCACCGACTTCTAAGAGTAGGCTCCATAAGGAGCAGATGGAATGCGCACTGCTGATGCTCGCCGAAAGACTGTAACGGCCGTACAGTACTTTTCGGGGCGTGTGATGGCTATCTGACCGAGTCGATGTGATGAATTTTTTTTCATGCCATTCAAATCAATTCACTACCGATTGCTTATAATGCCATACGTTAATTTGGGGCTCAAGTGTAGAAACTTGTCCCTTGGTCTGAGGGCTACCCTGTCCTCTGCGCGGTAGTAACCTGCAACTCAGCGGATAGTGACCGGCGCTATATCACATCTAGTAACTTAAATATGTTTATTATCGATCGACTCGACGCACGCCTCGATAGGTATGAGCATAAGGTTTTAGCACTGTTGAACTGTCAGCCACAATGCATGTACAGTTAGTGAAAATGTAAAATTGTTGTACAGGATTCATAGAAGTAGTTCAACATAAGTATTTTTCACAACTGCAATGTCGGTTGTATGTTTGAGATCGTCTGGATTGGGGATACTTGTGGAAATGATTGATTCATGGAATAGTGAACGCTGTGGAAACATTGATTTAAGAAGCGGAAGAATCGTGTGAGTATGCTTGGACGCATGGTCATTGTAACTATGCATTGCGGGTCCTTGTCATTGAATGTCGATGTAGTTATGAATGGGGCGGTTGGCTCATTCGATTATAGTTGTTTCAATAGCGCATGACGTCCGTTGTAACCGTCCCATGTAGATCAGTAGTTTCAAACACAGATTCACAACTGTCGACTGAGGATTCTGGCCCCACAGCGTTCAACTGGTGTGCGCACTGCTGACGATTTCCAGAATGATGAAACGGCCGCACAGAGCCTTCTCTAAGGTGCGATAGGCATCTAATTGGATGTCACTGTGACGATTCTCCATAGAAAATCTCTGGATTTATCAATGCAACAATGCAGATAGTTTGAATGAAGTCTGATACTCAGGTGACTTACGAGGCTCGTCTACCTAGGATATCCCGCTGTCTGGTCAATCCTTCCAACTATCTCCCACATTATTTGGTCTATCCTTCAGTTGAGACCGATGACCAAGATTGATCGTGTTAGGATATGCAGTTTTAAACAGAGCGATTGATTAGATCAATCGCCACTGTTTTGCAGCTGTGTCGCAGCTGCATATCGGGAGTGTGGGTACTTCCGCGCTCCGGTAATTCAAATCCGCATTTGACCCATGGGATTCGTACGGGCTATCCGTTCATGATGTACTCAGGTGACTTACACTAATTGGTAACGGAGCAAGCAAACGATGCTGAATGAAAAGCATATCCACATTTGCATGTCACGTTTGTTGCTGCCTAGTGCCTCTAAGTAAAAGCGGATGCCGACGCACATAGATTTATTAGCATGTGTATGTACTTACCCAGTCACGGTTCTCTTGAGGCCGTTCTGTGCATGTCTCCTTTCCACTGATTAATTCTATTTTATCAGCTCAACTTTCGCATCCTACTTTTTCCCTTCTTCTAGGTCTAGTGGACCAAAGAGCATACAACGTCTCAGTTAGAGCCATCAACCAGTTTGAAGGTCACAAGGCTTGGACCGGACCCATTCGACCATCGGCCAACCGTAAGTAACCCTGTAAATCCCTTCTGTTCCAACATTCATAGCCGAACCGAAATACATAGTTGTTTAGACTGATAAAACGGTGCCTCTTATCCGGCTATAAATTAACACCTACTTCCATGATCCTTCAGAAGCGATGCATCTGACGCTTTGGGGGCATAGGTCTAACCTATGCTCGCTTTGATGTCTACCGGCTCGAGCTGCTGCTTCCTCTCACATCTTTGCCGATGTGCGGAGCCGTTGCGGTTGGTATATCCCGTATGTGAATCCTTTACTGTTTCCCATTGCACTCGCTCCCTTTTCCCGGACGTTCTTTTCCACTCCTGAACACGCGTCCAACACCATAGCCGCAACCACGGGCTCTGCCTACAGCTCGTTGGCTATGAGGCCCTCATTGTACTCGCTGCTTTACGTTTGCGTTTTCCCGATTCCCTGCCTGCCTTTCGATGGGATCTTTCATGGCCAACCATAAGACCCTCCTTATCTACTTCCATCTGGACCACGTTAAGCACCTTACTCGCGTATCCGGTTCAATTTACATCACCAGTTCTGGTGATCAAAGATGATCAAGTTGGCATTCACGGTCAACGCAGAACCCCGCCCGATGCAGTCGGGCTTATTGTTCATCTAAAGTCTGAGAATGGGTTAAGTCGTTTTGTCCCAATACACTCTGACCATCCGCTTTAGATGACAAATCCGTTTCTCATGTTACATTGGATTGAATGATGAATTATCTTTTCTCACTCCACTGTTCTTGCATTTGACGATCGCTTCACGCTTCAGCGTTGTCGAGTTCCTCCGTGGATGTTTGGTTCGTTGTCGGCACTCGCAAGCATAGTTTGCATTCATCTGTGTCACGAGAGCTGATAACTGACGATCGGAAAACGTAGTCACATAAGATTCGGTGCTTTGTCACACCGTAGACGAGAAACCTTATCACTTCAGCTTGTTCTGCACTAACCGGGACTACCTTCCTCTGCTTTTCGTCGCGCCCATGCGTATGTGTCCATAACTGTATACTACATTTCTTTAACCGATCTCGATCGTTCTCATCCTGAGAAACACTCGCTTTTCCTCACATCGCTAGAATGACACTGTTGTATCCCGAAAAAGCAGCAGATCAGAACAGCATCGGAAAGTATGTATGGAGATGACTGTCCGCACACACGCGCAGTGCCATTAAATCAATAGAGGTTCGAATTGCAACTAATCAAGTGCAAGCTCCTATGCTAGGCCTGCGATTGCTACTTAGAAGTGTGAGTAGCATAAGCGAATCGAGGGCAACAACAAAGCAAAGTATTTAAACACGACATTGTACCCTCCTCTGTTCGTAAAAATATAGGCACTACCTGTCCATGAACGATCTAATTTAATGTGAGCACCCCGAATAATTGTCATGTGATGTTATCCGTTAAAGCGTATCGGTAGACAGGGCGGCGTATTCGACCGGAACGTTTGTACGGACCGCTACGTTGTAGGTGTGTTCATCTGTTCAATAGCACGTTGGGAAAGCGCTGCATTCAGCCGTTTTGCATTCACCTTTGTCCCATCAGCCAACTTTTAAGTTCCTGGCGTGCCCACAGATTCCACACTGGTCGGCTGTCCGAACACATTACCTCTTTTCTGGGAATAGGGTAGTCGCAGACGAACAAATGTCCCTGGAGGATACGTTCTCCCAACGCGTCCATATTTAGCCTGGTAAACGGCCCCTCTTTCGTATTCTCTGATCGGCGGTTTCTTCAGGTGTAAAGACTGCATTTAATCGAGTTCGAATTGTTCGCCCTAGCCTTAACTCCGAGGGGGTCATTGCCATTGCAGTATGTAGAGTTGTTCTCTGTACCTCCAATGCAGATACCAAGGCATCATCCCAGGATTCTCCCGAAAGCCGAACGACTTGTAGAGATTCTTACAAAGTATGATTAACTCATTCGACGAGTCCATTCGCTGCAGGATTATAAGGTACAGTCCTCGTGTGTCTGATACCATTGCGCCTTAGGAATTCAGCATACTCGTTACTTCGAAACTGTGGACCGTTATCAGTGGCTATTTCTTTTGGCAAACTGTACCTTGCAAGCAAACAACGGAGCCACTTTATGATGACGACTGTAGTTACCTCCCCGCATAGAATAGTCTCTGGCCATTTACTGTAGAAATATGTAGCCACTAGCACGTTTCGCTTCTGCGGGAGTGCATTGGTAAACGGGCCCATAATATCGATGGCAATTTTCGCCCATGGCTTCATTGGGTACATGATAGGTTGGATTGGAGCGTTCAGGGGCCTCGCACTCTTATCGGATGGTTGGCAGTCGTAACATCCCCGATTAACCGCCTCGACGCTGGAATTCAACTTCGGCCACCAATAGTACTGTCGTATCCGAGCTTATGTTCGAAAAATCCCTGGATGATTTTCATGCGCACATGGAACTACCTTAGAAATAAGGATTGCAGGGACCACAAACGGCTTGCCTCTAATAATGCAGTTGCTCATAGTAGAAAGCTCGTGCCGTAGGATATAGTATGGAAGTAACTCAGGTTGGATCTTCGTCGGACTGGGCCATGAAGTGGATATGTGCTCCCGCAGCTTCGCTACGACAGAATCTTTGTCAGTGTCCTCTCTTATCAGGTCAAATCTTATTGCAGGTGTTCTGTCTGAGAACTACGATATCATTTTTACCTCCTCTAAGTCCTCGTTTTCCCCTACGTTGGACAGTGGGAGTCTCGACAACGCACCTGCAAGTTGGTTAAAGCACCCTAGCACATATTTTATTTCATAATCATAGTTCAATAAACATGAGTACCAACGACTCAAGCGTACCGGCTTTTGGCCTTTGTTACCGCGACTTAGTAGCGTTGTAAGAGCAGAACGATCGGTTCGCAAAGTGAATCGACGTCCGAATAAGTAAAAGTGCCGTTTCTCACATGCCCAGGCGCATGCGAGGGCCTCCTTCTCGCCGGTGGAATAATTTCTTTCCGTATCAGACAAGGTACGCGATGCGTACGCAATCACTTTCTCCTGCCCATTGTGCAGCTGTGACAGAACTGCACCCAAGCCAACATCTGATGCATCCGTTGAAACAAACGCTGGACAATACTCATTGAAGATCGCCACCGTGGGAGTGGATTCAATCATCGCTCGTATGGTCATGTAAGCACTGTCTTGTTCAGTGGCCCAACGAAACACCTGGTTTTGACGCATCAACCTCCGTAACGGCTCGGCAATAGTCGCAAAATTCGGTAAATGTTGAAGGTAACAAGTAGGCAAACCCAACAAATGTTTCATCTGTGTAACGTTGCATGGTTTTGGACAATCGAGAATGGCTCTGGTGATCTGCACATTAGGCTTAATACCCGAGGTCGAAATAACATGTCCAATAAACTCGACCTCCGTTACAGCAAATTGGCATGTGCTGGTGTTCAGGCGGAGATTTAGTTTATTCAGTCTATGCAACATATTATGAAGGTTTTCCTGATGTTCGGTGTGGTTACTACCAAAGACGCAAATATCATCCATTTACACAACACATCCTTTGAGATCTGATAACGATAAAGTAATGAATTTGTGCCAAGTTTCTGGGGCACTACTAAAGCCCATTGAAAACGCTTTGTATTGATACAAACCGTCTTGCGTGAAGAAAGCAGTCAAATGTCGGCAATCTGGAGTCAGTGGCATATGGTAGCATACACTGCGAATATCCAGCTTTGAAAAAAGTTGGACGTTTGAAAGTCTAAACATCAACTCGTCGATAGAAGGCAGAGGGAACTTGCCCACAATTATATATCGATTAGGCGCTCGAAGGTCTGTTCATAGACGAATAGAGCTATCTTTCTTTTGAACGGCAACTAGTGGATGAACCCATTCAGAACACTGTATGCGTTCTGTCAAGTCTTTCGTGACCATATTTTTCAAAGCTTGCGACGACTCTCACTTGGCCAGAGGTACAGTCTTAAGTTGTGAAATGCTGAACTGTTTGTACTCCGCGCTCAACCAAATACGGTGCATTGCTTTTGGGACTCTACCAATATCTGAAAGATAGTGATTTTGGTAACTGGAACGTAACGAATGAAGGTTGATGCTGGCAATGGTCGTCCGGCTGACGCATGGTGATATGTTCAACAAGACCATGGCATTACGTCCCAATAGAGGCTTACTATCAGTTTTAGAGACGTAAACTGCAACCATACGCTTTCTGCTGTTTATAAGAAACACTGCAACCGTAACAATACCGTGTATGTGAACATCACCATTTGAGTAGCTGCTGAAAGTGTAAGCGGTAGGATGTACAGTTAGCTGAGTAACATGCTGTTTGTAAAAACACTATGGTACAAGTGTGCTCTGTGACGCGGAATTTAGTTCCATGCCTTGATAAATGGTTTTGTTTCTAACTTCAAAAAAACATATGACGAATATCTGGCAAAGACAGTTTGGGTTCTTGAGTTGGAGACGAAAGTGGATGTTCGAATTCATTAACGACATATATGGATTGTTCAGTTGTGACCGGAGAAGCTCTAGTCATTTGCAAAATCATGTAGGAAAATGTCGCGGGCACGACAAACCCGCGCAAAATGACCGGTCTTACCGCAATTCGGGCAGATTTCACTCTTAACCTGACATGACTTATCATTTGCACGATGTTCAGCATTTCCACAACGATAATACTTGTTTCTAACTGAGGATCGCGTCAGCGAGCGTGTAGAATCCAAACGGCCAATTTCAGTAACTCCTGTGTTAGAGAGGAAAATTTTCTTTTGATCCGTGACCGCGACCTTCTCGCGAGCCACGTCACAGAACCTGTCCCATGTGAGCTTTTCTGTGTTCTCCATTATGAGACTCTCTGATCCGAGAATCCTTGAGACCAGAAATCAATTGTTGTAGTAGCGTAGATTTTTCCACTTTTTTCTTGGAAATACTATTGTAGTCACACTTTCGAACAGAATAAACAAGACGGGAAATCAATGCATCCACTGATTCACCAGATGTTTGTTTCAGCTGCGAAAAATTGTAC